TATTCAGTTGTACGTGGGATATATTTTCAAAAAGTAGGAAACTCAACAACAAAACTCCAGCACAAATAATCAAGATTAAACTTCATCCCACAAAATAAAGGAATTCAGTATTAAAGTTCCATCTTCATCTGTAACTAATCCTCTCATGCTTAGGGACCATTTTGCAATTTATACCGCACAATATCTGAAGCCATCTCAGAGCCCATTTCCCTAAGCACAGCAAGATAAGCTTGTGGTGGAAGTGTGAACTCTGCTCTTGTCTTCGCTGCAGGGTTAACTCAGGGTATCAACACCTGAATTAGCGTAGCTCAAGTGAGCGAGGGCACACTGACTACACACTGCGCAAAGCGATTGTGTCTGTAGCTGATGAGTGGTGCTGACTCAGGCTGTAGCATGTATCCACTCTCAGGCCAGCCACCTTGAGTTAAAAGCCCCACTGCACTTGAGTTAAGGTTAGTGCGTGTGGCGGGGTCTCAAGTTAGAGGCAACACTTGAGTTATAACTTGAGTTAACTCAGCAGTGATGTCAAGCCTGGGGTATCCTTATTTCTGTGGGTCCACATCAAATCCAAAATGGTATTTTTATACAGATTCCAAAAATCGTGTTAAAAAGGACACAGATAAATACTATTTTATTATATCTAGTTAGAAGCCTACTAATGACTTTTTTGCCTTCCACCAATCAGGAATTTTTACACTTGGTAATCATGATTTCTTTCTGCATTTTGGATGATGCTGAACATCATTTGGTTGTTTTCTGCTACAATTGTCCTTCCATTGTGAGTAGAAAAATAATCTTTCCAAAAACAAATACAGTTGCATTTGCCATTCTTGAAACACTCAGAGACAAAGCAAAAAATAACAGGAGCGAACATGAAAAGCTTTGCTTAATTCATGCAGAATTTATTGCAACTGAACCAAAATGAAGTTCACGCACTCAGAAGGGGCCCTGTTCCCCTCAAGATCTAATTCATATGGATGGTGAGGAAAGGGACGTGCAAGCAGGATGTTTGTATTATGTAAACAATGAATGCCAGTCGATTCAGGGTAGGGAAGTAGCAGAGGAAACAGGGAGGGATCAAATAGGTAAAGTTGTTCCAGGGGAGAGCTGGCTGTAGTGGAAGCAGGAACAAGAAGAGAAGAGATTCTGGAATAGAAGGGAAGCAGCAAGCAGTGAGGATGGATTGGGAAGTTAGAGAAACTGGGGAGATGCAGTGGCATAAACCACCTCATTTAGCTTGTTTGCTAAATGTCACTGTGAAGTCTACGCAGAATATTGGACCAAATTTGTGTCTGGTTTAACTACACTGATGGCTGTTCTTCTATGGCGTACACAATGTTTTAGCAAGATCTAAAAAATAAATAGCTCCATTTTATTCATATAAATGTGTAAAACATATCCATAAAAGATCCAGTGCCTTCCCCATTAGATAAATGTTATCAGATAGGTCAAGTCTGGAGCCAAAGACCTTGAAAGTATTGATTTAATTTATCTTAAACTGATGCATTTAAAAACAAGTCACCATCTCAATATTCTTGTCAGTTTTTTATTGTTTTTCATCCTAAAGACGAGCACATTTACAGCATACATGGATTGGATGAACTAGGAATATATAAAACACTAACCATATGTTTATGATATATTAATACTGCCCAAAAACAAATAAATAAAAGTATTTAAGTGCATAAAGCCTGGCAAATACAACAGTTTTGGGACAAAACAGTATTGTATTATACAATAATTTTACATATATAAATGAAACAAAAGGCAACTGTGCTGTGGGTGCTTTCACAGAACATACACAGAACATACTTGGCAACATTTTTTTAAACCTTAGTATGTTTTATAATTTAAAAAATGTACTCAAAAAGAACATTAGACAGAACTTCATTTTACAATCATCCTTAATGTCTTTCCTGTGCAACAGAAAAGCTTAAACTCTCATGTGAAGGTTCCTATATGTTTAGTTAAAGTTTCACAGTTTTTCTTTTTCGATGAACTGCTCAAAATCTTACTGTTCAATATGCCCTTTAAGCAAGCCTATTTATGTGCATGTAATAACAATGTTGTATATATAAAATATTAGCCGAACAATGATGCTTTACATGAAGTACATAGAAATTGGAATATTCTCCACAAAATAATGCAGTACTTAAGTTTGGTGTTCCACCGCTTTAAAAAGGTGAGCAAAAAGCATGCACATAAAGAGTTTTGGAATTCTTTTAGATTAGGTGTGTATACAAAATAAATAAAGGTCACTATAATTTAGAGTGGATTTAATTATTAAGAACTCCATAATGCTAGTGAGCAGCTCTAGTAATTGTAGTAACTCTCTTGCATTATTCCCCCTCCAAAACTGAACACAGAGTTCCAGTGTAACAATGTAAGAATTTATAAATATGCTTAACTACATGATTGAAAAATATATGAAACAAACTGATCAACTAAATGTCACCAGTGAGAAACTCTGAGTTCTACAGAGTACAGATTACATAAAAAGAAATGTGGTGTTTAATAATGGAATAGGGATTGCAGATTTAACAGAATGAATGGAATAATATAAATCCAAAGGATTCTTACTGAAAGTTGCTGGGGTTTTTTTTAACATGTATTTGTTTTACATATTGTCAAAAAACAAACACAGGTTGTTTCATTTGGGATGAACAGAGACAGTGGAGTTCCCAAGGATTGTTTCTGCTATAGCCATGAATTAATTATTCAAAACAGGGACAGGACCATAAATACTTTTTACAGACTTCTAGACATATGCATATCTTACACAGTATTCGCCATTTTGCTATCTTAATAAGGCTGAAATAATAATAAAAAGCTAGGTCAACAAAACAGTCTAACTGGCACATGTGACACTGTTAAATGTTGAACTGCAAAAAGCAAAATGTGAAAACTACGGTACTTAAAACCCCCAAATTTATGTGGGAGCAGAATGAACATGATCAACAGAGCAGTGAGAACACAGACGAACACCAGGAAGACAGAGAAAGAAATAAGGAACTGCCACATACATACCTGGCTGTTGCTATTCTATTGTGAATAAACTGACCATATTTCCCATTCTGAAGCCTACTTCCTTAAAATCCCAGGGGGAGTGAGTACTTGACTATTGTATATTGGGCTAAATGTGGCTAGGGAAGATTAATCCTGATAAAATCTGGAAATTAATGTTTACATTCATTTTTTAGAATCCATACCCTTTACAGAGACTATTTTCAAGGAGATCTGTTGAACATTTCTTATAAGATGCTTATCTGGTCACCTTAGTCATGAGATGGAATAAGTATGAGGTTTTAACACGTTAACAGTTACTTGTATCAAAATAGGACATTGCTAGATTCACCAGAAATATATGTTACGATAATAATAATCCCTGTGCATTATTCTGACAGAGCTCAGCTGGGCAAAATGCAATGCTAAACAGAAAACAAATTTTTGTTATGGAAGGATTTGGGCAGTTGTGGACATTTATAGAGCATCGTTTGGTTAGCAGGTATTGAAAATATCATCAAAAAATTTTTAGATACTAACACGATTGACCTGAAGTGATATAAAAAGCCATGGAAAAATGTGTTACTTAATACACAATACCATGATATTTACTGACTTGCCTGTTATGCTATAAGTTACACTACTGTAATGGGGAGATAAAACTGTATTTGAATTTTACAATATTGTTTGTTAGCATTCACCACTAACCAAATGCAATCACATAAGTGTTTGAAAAATTTAAAAAGTTTCTGAAATCAAATAAGGTGATTGTGGGTCCAATCCTGAGCCCAGTAAAGTCAATGGGAGTTTTGGACTAAGTTGGAGCAGGATAGGACTTCATGTCAGTATCTGGCCTTGTACATTACTAACTCCATGTATGAAAGACAGCATTATATATACAGTAAAACATTTTAAACTCCTGACTTTTGTACTGACATTCTTTTTTAAAAATTAAACCATTGTTGCTTGATTGTAACAATTCATTCTACACTCATCCGACTGCCCAGGGTCCAATTAATTTACTATTTACAATGTTGAGATTTTATTCTCAGTTTTAAAAAGTATTATGAAAAGCTTACTCTCACGTCAACTCAGTATAAAAAGATGTTATGTGAAACACCTGCCTAAACACCATTCATAAAGTCCTTGACGATCCTGGAGGTACCAAGCTATTTCCATTTAGGTAATTATTCAGTGCTACAGTATTTGTGCATTTTACATACACTGAAGGCTATTTAAATGGGCAGAGAGTCATCAAGCTAAGGTGTCAGAATAACCTTCATAGATTCCAATTCAATAAAGTAACATGCTCAATATAACCTAGTGAAATGTACAAAAATTGGTCATCTGGTCTCGATGACAAATTCATATATTAAACTAGAGTATATCCCCGTGTTTTAATGGAACAGCTAATTACAGGACACAGTATGCTTATGTTTCAACTTTTCCATAAGTTCCTTCTGGAGGCCTGTAATGCTTTGGGAAAGCCTTCAGTTGCAGGGAATTAAATGCATACTTGCGACATCCAACATTCTTCATTGTATTTTCTCTTCGACAACCCTCACTGGGGAAAAAAACAAGCACAAAAAAATGACAGCAGTAAAAAGGAAAATAAATAAATAAAAGACTTAAACTAAGATGAAATGAACTGGTTATTTCATAGCATTAAAAAAAGTTGATTAGTTTCAATGGGTGTTTGTGGATCATTTGCCATTGCAAATATTAAAAATGGTGGATCATTAAACAATGCTATTAAGAAGCACATAGAATGGACACATGCCATGTTTAATTGCTAGTTTTGCATTTCTAAAAAGCAGCAGTGTATCTAATGGAACAAACTTTTATATTTGAGATGGTTTCATGTATTTCAGGATACTTTTACTGTGAAGTTTAAATGCCATTTCATTGCACATGGAATCCAAAAAACCTGCTGAAATAATTTTCTAACAAATTAGCAGAACTGTAAGTTGAAAAAGAAAAACTGCTGATCTCTGAACAGAATTTTTAAAATAATTTTATTGTCCCCTGTATGGCAGTATTATCAAAGCTTACTTAAAGAGTGAATACAAAAATAATGACTTTTCAGATAACTCTGCATGCATAAATTCATTTGAAAATTAACAAACTGTACTAGCAGAATCTAAATCCTGAAACGGCAGCTTTGTATGGGTGGAAAAAAAGATTGGCTCCATGTACAGTCATCACACAAAACTGTTCAGAGTTTAGATTGCAAACCTAATGTTGCTATGCAGTTGCTCTATACCAGCAGAGGAGGCTCTGTGCTATAATGAAAGCTACCCCAGCTATAAGGCTTCTATATAATGGTTCTGAAATCTACTGCAAAGTTCCTTTGATTGTATGCAAAATCCTTGTTTTCCAAAAACAGACTTACAAAGAGGAAGCACTTTTTTAAAAATGTAGGTTATAAGTTAACCTAGATTCTCATGAGAACGTTTTCTTCTTTCTTTACTAGAGAAGGTAAAAAATGGATAATGATAATGGTTTAATGCTCTAGCTTGATGGTGTAATGTACACACCACCATCTTACGGCTGAAATGCTATATTATTCCCGTTTTAAAGACAGATGAAAAGCAGCATGTAACATACTCCAGATAAACCATAGTGACAATTTAAAAGGTTGGTTTGGGGTTTTTTACCTTTAAAAATCTTCTTCCAACATTGGCTCATGCTCATTGCTGGGCTTATTTGATTTTGATTAATTAAACTGGTTGTAATTTTATTTGTTGCCTGTTTTAAATGCATTTAGCATTCTTAACTTTGTCTCCTAAAACCACCCTATTTAAAGTTTGAGGACTGCCTACTACAAATGTGCAGTAACTGTTTTTTATAGTATGGATCCCAATATGTACATTACACCATTATTTTGTGTCTTTACACAAAATACTGCAAAAATTGTTACAGCCAATTAAGTGAGTGAGATATATTGTGAACATTTCTTGAATATATTTTCATGTCATGGACTTGAATTGCTTCAAAGGAGCCATTAAAATACACTTCCATAAAGGATTTGCTTTCCTTTTCTTGGACAAATTGTTTTTTTAAAATTGTAATTAAAACATTAAGTTTAATTGTGCAATGGTCTATATTATTATGTTCACCACTTTTACAAGACTAGGATAAATTTTGTACAAGGTATGCTTTGTGAAATCATTTGAAAACTCAATCTGCTGAACATTATTGTCTGCTGATCATTATTGTCCTGGTAAAATGTGTGTATCAACATTGTATGTGAAGTTATAAGATTTGGCTGTATAGCATTGTTATACATGTTTCAAGGTTAAGAAAAGCAGGCCCAAGCCAGTTTTTCCAGAGACAAAGACACATTGACACCTCAGCCAAGTGTTAAAGAGCTATCACCTGCTTAAGCAGCCATTCTCCAGCAATGGGAAGGTGTGAATAAGAAATTTACATTCCATCACAGGGACTTGTCAGATCTCATGTCCACAAAAGACTACTTGTTGCCTGCACTCCAGCTGGGGGCAATCCTCAAAGAGGGGAGGGTGATATAAGAATGATGGCTTGGCTACACTTGCAAGTTAAAGCGCATTAAATCAGCAACGGGCTCCCTAACTCCTGAGATGTCCACACTGGCAAGGCACTTAGAGCGCCTGGACTCTCTGCAGCTGGAGCGCTCCTGGTAATCCACCTCCACGAGAAGCATAGAGCTTGCTGTGCCCCGGCTGAAACAACCGGGTGTCAGTGTGGACGACGCGGTGCATTACTGTGCTGTGATTGGCCTTTGGAAATGTCCCATAATCCCCTGAAGTGAAGTGGCCACTCTGGTCATTGCTTTGAACTCGGTTGCAGGCATGCGGATATCCCCTTTCAAAGCTCCGTTCTGACAGCCGGCTGCTTCTCTGCTCCGGGACACAGAGCAACCATTACTGTGGAATGCTGCTGCTGTTGCCGAGGCAGGTGTTCGTGCGTGCATGCATGAGTGAGAGAGAGAGGCGGGGGGGAGGGAAAGTCTGCTGCTGTCTGAACTTACAAGACAGCATGCTGACACACTCTCTGCCCCCCAAAACACACGGTCTCTCCCCCCCACATACACACAACACACTCCCTGTCGCACTCCACGCCCACACCCTTTTGAAAAGCACGCTGCAGCCACTTGCACACTGGGATAGCTACCACAATGCACTGCTCTCTGTGGCGTTGCAAGAGCTGCTAATGTGGCCACACCACTGCGCTTGCAGCTGACAGTGGAAATACACGGCAGCATTTTCCCTGCTGCTGTCTCCGAAGGCTGGTTTAACTCCCAGAGCTCTACACCTGCAACTGTAGCCAAGCCCTGAGAGATTGTGGCCTCCCATTTTCCTCTCTCCTCCTTCATCTCTGCTCATAACATCAACGACTCTCAAAGAACTGAACTAAGGGGGCAGGATCTCACGCTGAAAGTAGACCCAGCCTGTGAAATTTACTGCAGCGTATGGTGAGACAAAACCTTTTGCTTTTAAGTTCACTTAGCTTGTTAAGTTAGGTATTAGCTTGCGTTTTACTCTTATTTTCTTTTGTAACCAATCCTGACTTTTATGCATCATCACTTGTAATCACTTAAAATCTAATCTTTCTGTCGTTAATAAACTTATCTTATTGTTTTATCTTAACCAGTGTGTTTGGATTACAGTGTGTGGGAAGCTCCATTTGGGATAACAAGGCTGGTACATTATCATTTTCCTTTGATGAAATGACAGACTTCCTATGAGAAGGTACTGAGCAGTACAAGATGCACATTTCTGGAGGAACAAGGCTAGGACTAAGAATTTGTGGGTGTCACCCTATATGTAATTCATGAGTGACTGGTCAGAGCACAGATGTAATTTATCTGGGAGTGATTTTGAATACTGAAGGCTGTGAGAGCAGACCAGGAGTGGATGTTCTGACAGCAAAGAAGGGTAAAAGACACCCAAGGCTAGAGAATTAAGCTGTTCAGCAGTCCAGATTGCACCCTGGGTAATGTCACAAAGGGACAGTAGCATGGGACACAAACCAGAAAGTTAGGGTATTCAATGGCAAGTTTAGTACTGTTCAGAATTCATCCCATCATGACTAGTTATTGCACATGTCTGAAGTGAGTCACAGTGATGGCGCTGCAAGGGCTTTTTTCCCCTCCTGTGAACGTGAAGACAAGATATAATACGCTGTCACATATCATCCTCTGTGCCAGATTTTTAACTGCTGTATACCATCGACTTCAATGGAGCTATGTCAGTTTATACCAGCTGAGGATGTGGCTTACTGTTTGACTGGAAACAATGGTGACCAGAAATATTAATTCACGGGTCACTTTTTCTTTGATGACCTAATAGTGAACATAAATCCTTATTTCACCACTGAGATTCCTAGACACAACTGAATGAGTTAGTAACAGCATACTGCACCAACTGGTATCAAGCTTCCTTAATTTTATTATTTTTAGTCCTACCTTTAATATAACCTTAAACATGATCTAAAATATATTTTGATATGTGACCACAAAGGCATAACAATAATTGGTATTTTTACCTTAAATGTAGGGGTTATCTTTACCTTAAATTAATTAAAATAATATCGCACCTTTACCGTAGTATCTGTCAACATTTAATTAAATGAATGTGAAAACTCCTGCCCAAAGGTAACCAGCTGAATTAGAAGGTTACAGTATTGCTCCTTCATGCCACCACCCAAAGTTACTAAAGAGTGTTCTAAAATGCAAAGAATGGAGATCTTGTGCTGCTTAATACTTCTGAACTAATGGCACTTATGTTTATTACGCTGTCATTGATATGACATAACAGCCATCTCCTCATTAGAGATCCTACGCAAGGGTTTGGATCGAGCAAGGTGTCAAGTACTCCTATGAAGTGCTGAGCATCCTCAACTGAGCATCCGCTGAGTTCATTGGGAGTTCAGGCACTTGGCACTGTGCAAGACTGAGACCGTTGTAAAGAACCAGAATCTTAACTTAATTATGTGATAGTTTTTGTGAAGAATTAATTTCTTCTGGTTGAGATCTGTTTGCAGCATGCAGTAAACTTTTCAGTTCTGGAGACCTGAGTTTAAATATAGGCTAGGTCACAAACAAAGGATGAAATCTACGCCCAAAGAAATGAAATTGAATTAAGTAGGCCTAGGGTTTCACCCAAAGTAAGACTAATCGGCTTCTTAAATTAGAGTTCGATTTTGCAAGATGATGAGCATGTTGGCCCCAATCCAGCAAAGCATTTAAACTTGCTTAATTTTAAGCACATGAATAGTCCCACTGACTTCTATGGGACTAGTCATGTTCAAAGTTAAGCACATACCTGTTAGATTGGGCTAGTGTGCTCAGCACTTTGCCGGATCAAGGCCTTTGTCCATACTGGATGTTTATTCACATAATAAAAACACAGAATTTGGCACAAAAGGCAGGCCGTTCAGGGGACAAATAAGGCTGGAATCAGAAGTGTGTGAAGATCAGGGCTTAGATGCAGTGGTAGGATAATTTATACCTGCCACCAATTAGCTTTGTATTTTCTATTGCTGGCATGCCATGGCTTCAACTTCATTAGCAATAAGCTTTCCCAGACTCACTCCAGTATGTTTTTATAAAAATGAAATATAAATTTAAATAAATAGATTCACCGTTTTTTAAAAAAAAACATAAGAGGGTATCTGGGGTGAGGGAGGGGATGGAAACCAGGAGACATTGTACTATACAATTTGATTTGGTGAAGACAAAGAAAATATAGCCATGTACTTTCTGATTTTGTTATAACTGGAAATTAAACATTTCCTGAATTTAAGAGTCTATTCTAACCTCAAAATTACATAGCTGCTTTTTCATCTTGCATTATTACTGGTCAGAAATGCTTCTAAAACATTATAATGAATGTATCAAAGTTACAGCTATCTAGGCTTTCTGAATGCTGCTATGTGCCTATTTGAACGAATTATAATAATAATGATAGAAATTACATATTAATTCACTGTCATCTATTTACCTACCTAGGTCCTTATGTGGCTCCCATAACCATAATATCTGTGCACCTAGTAAATATTTAAGAATAGAAATAACAGTAATACTTTGTCTATTGTCACTGCACAAAACCCAAATGCTTTGGCTTTGTAGTTCAGTGTAACCATGCTAAGGGAGCTAACTGATATACCTCTTTTCTTGCCTGGTATATTAAATGTCAACATAATTAACTTATAAGTTATTATCCTGATTCAGTATTCTCTTTTTTTATAATTTAAAAATGGACCATCTTTCCCCAAGGAAGCATAAATGGACAATTGATCACTATCAGTCTATTTTTACTACATACTCCTTTTCTGAGAGTCATTCACTTAAATAGGTTACAAAAATGTATACCTGTAAACATAATGGAATAATATTGCATGCAGTACACTGCAATTCAAGGGGTTTTTTTTAGTGGGTACAGTATATGCTACTGAAATAGATTTAAACATGAGAAAGGAACAAGACTATGGGTTCTGCAAACTGTTTACTACTGTAATTTAGCGATTATGTTTTGAAATGGAAGTAGAAAGGTGTCAGATTTGTTTATCTAGGTACATCTGTTATAAACCCCACCTATTTATTTTAAATTTTTCTCTTCATACCTCATAAAAATGAAAGGCAAGGTTAGCATACACTTAAAGATTATACAAAAAGATACAAATTCTTTTCAGACAGAGTTCCTTTCTCTGGAATACATGAAACAAGTAACACAAAACTGTATATATGAGAGAGACTCTTAGATCTGAAGGTAAGAGAAATATTTGGTAAGAGAAACTGATCTTCAGGCCAGCTAAAGTAAAGAGGTAACAGCCAACTTCAGACTATGTTACAAGCACTGAAAGCATAACAATGGTTTAAACTTTCAATACAATTCCTCTTTGATAAAATAATTTGATGTATATTTACACTTTAGTACAATATAAACGTAAAATTGTAAGGCATAATAATAATTCTTGGCAGACATTGCTATGGCACATTCCTTTGTCCAGCAGATATCAGGTGGCAATACATATTTAAGCACTTTTATCTATTTTTGTTTTTTTAAGCTTGTCTTCATTTGCAACGTAATCGGGCCACCAGGTATGCTACACTCAGAAACAGCCACACAATCAGTAAATTGGGGCTCAGAGCTAGTAAAGGAAAAGAGTAGAGGAGGCTGGGGTCTAGCCCGAAATCTCGGATGGGCACCAAGCCACTCAAGTTCTTCTGGGTGACTACCTCCCGTGTTCCAATGCTGTGAAAAGGAAGAAGTTTGGGAGAAGGGAAAATAAAACAGAAAGGAAAGCAGACATGCAACAAATGTATCAAAAGAGATGGGAAAACAAGGTGACCAAGAAGGGAAATGAAAAACATGGAAGAAGCCACAACAAAATCAAAACATGGAGTAAAGGAAGAGTGGAGTAATGCCAAAAAAATCACCACAATTACAGATAAAAAGAGAGAGAAAGAGAATAAAAAGAGAAAAATAAGAAAAAATACTGTAGTCTACTGAAAAGAAATACATGTAGGTTGAACAAGAATGGTTTTCCATGTTCATTCTCTCAATTGGCCAAGCAATATTCCATGCTGCCCTGCCATGCTTCCACATGCTGCAAAGAAATGGAGCTCCGAAAAGCAACCTGAACATGAATAACCATTGTAATATTTGACCATTTCAAACATGCTTCAATATGAGTTGCAGTGAATTAATTCAACAGCCTCTGATCTGTCTGTTACAATGCAACAGATCAGATATTATGCTTCAAAATGAATTCTACTTGTTCTCAAAATGCTTTTCAACACACACATTTGGGCAGTGTTTGATTTATGCAACTGTGGACATGGGCAATGGGGGAATCCCCAGGTCTCAGAATAATCGTCTCAAAATGGACCCTCACTGCCCAGACTGTTTTTGAGCAAAGAGGGCCAACAGCAGAGAACACCTGTCCAGGTTAGCTGAGGTTTCTCAGCCCAGCTCTTCCTTTTGGATCACTAGTCTGTTCTTACTATTGTCCTTTTTCAAAGCGCAAAGCCACAAACACCTGCAAGTTTGGGACCTAATCTTGTGAGTAACAAGTGCCTCTGTGCAAGATGCTAAGCAAACTCAACTCTCTTTGGCAGCTAGTAAGATCTCAGAAACTTCCTGGAGGTCCCTCAGGTAAGCAGGAATGAGATGGACAGAGGAATATCTCTGTCTCCCCAACCCTTAGAAAGAAAGTGGGCACAGGAACATACCCACAGTAGCTTCCCCTGCCTGGCCTGCTGCTGGTGAAGAATGGTGGTGGATTGAGGAGGAGTGGTATATGTGAAGTTAAGGTACAAAAAGGTGAACGTATTTGGGATAAGTGGGTGGGAATCAATATGTACTGGGGGGCAAAATAAATGGAGGGAGAATGCTGGGGAGTGGATGAAGGGAATGTAAATGGGTTTGAGTGTGAGTAGTGGAGGCAGTGAATGGAGAGCTAGAGCTGAATGGAAGATGTGATCAGCGTTAGAGAGAGATTAGACTGAATGGGTTGGGTGAGGGACAAGGAAAAGATTGATGAGAGGAGAAGAAACAGAATACGGGGAAGGAGAGAGAGAGAGAAGACAACATGAGGGTAAAGAAGAAGGAGGGAGGGAAGAAGCAGCACTGAAAGTGACAGGAAGACATACATCAAGGTTGAAAAACAGAGAACGGAAAACGAAGAGAAGGATGGGAAAAGGAAAAGAAAAAACAGAAGCACAGGAGATGTAGGGCTTGTCTACTCTTGAAATGATACAGCGGCATGGCTGCACCACTGCAGTTGCGCCACTTCAGCAGAAACGCCACCTATGCTGACAGGAGGGATTCTCCTGTCGGCCTAGGTAATCCACTGCCCCGAGAGGCAGTAGCTAGGTTGACAGAAAAATTCTTCCATCGACTTAGCGCTGCCTATACTGGGGATTAGGTCAGTTTAACTACACCACTCATGGATGTGGATTTTTCACTTTCCTGAGCAACATAATTAAGCTGATTTAATTTTCTAGGGTAGGCCAGGCCATAGGAAGTCACCTCTTTACCAACTCACGTAATATAAAACTGAATACCACAGGCATCCAGGTCAGTTACATTTATCCCAGGCTTATGCAGACACTCCTAAAGAGCAAAAAATGCTACATTAGGAACATACTAGATTGCGCCTAATAGTATGTATTTCATTTGACAAAGTGAAATGCTCATAGTGAGAATAACTTTATAAAGGAAAGAGAAATGGAGGAGGAAAGTTCCTCACTAATCTGGCACTTGAATGTGACCTAAGGCTAACTGCAAAATTGCACTTTAAAAACAGATCCATTTCCCTCCATGTTATCCGATGGATAGTATCACTGAAAAGATCCAACTTAGCTATACTAAAAAGGAACTATACTGCTGACGGTGATTAGATCCAAATACCTTGGATGACAGTCAGACTTCGGATCTGGAGGTGTCTGGCTTTATTGGCCTTTTGTTTGCTATTGTGTACAGAATTTCTGCTATATAGTACTTTGTAACATTATTACTACTTAAGGTGCTGTGTCAAGATACCTCAGGTTCTAACATCAAGGGATTGCACAGGTTTCATACATAGCATGAATGAGTCCACTATTACAAAACCATTAAACTAAGTGAGAAAAAGAAAGACTACTGACAACCAATCAAATCTAGGAGTGAAATCATTTAAAAAACAAAATTTACCAGAGTAAGAGGCTGTATCATGTGAAGTATTTTCTTGTAGGCAATTGAAGATTAAGAAAGGGTCAAATAGCAAAAACATACAGAAAGGATAAGAGAATTGAACACTTTAGAGAATTTGGTGAGAAGACACACAGTACAATACGTTCAGTAAGAGTGAATGTCAAAAACAGGACTCAACAGCATTGCTGAACTACATTAATAGAGACTAAAACTGGATTTCTTATCCTTTCTTTTGGTATGTGAAATATGGAGTTTTCCAGCAGTGCTTGAAACAAGGCATTGAACAACAATAAACAGATATTTTTTTTTAGTATTTAACTCTGCAAACATGTCTGCTGCTTCAGAATACAGAACATTGTTAAATTGATGAAAACAGAACACTGACAGGTTTGATGGGGTTTGGTTGCTGTATCATGAAACACTCATAATGACAATTTGCCCAGTGAGCAAACTGTTTCACTGCTAAGGAGTAAGCATAGCAAACCAGTGCAACCTGCAGATGCGAACCCTTCACGTAAGAAAGAACAGAAAGGTCATCTCTGAGAAAACCTCCTGATCAAAAACTAAATTAAAAAGATAGCACCATAATGGCAGCCAAGGGTATGTCACAATCATTGTGACTTTCAAGGGGGCATTAGTCTTCTATGCTCAACTGGTAGCTCAGCACTGACAGTCTGTTTGAAAGTTCTCTCTTATGTGCTTCTCTGAACACTTCCAATACATTGTCGAAAACTAAGGTTACAAATTGTTTCTTGCCCCTTAAAGAGCACGTTGTGCAAATTCGGCAATAATCAATTTTACTTTGCACAGGTCAAGGAATTTAAGATTGAAAGAGAGACAGTCTGACAGCCAGCTATAGCCTGTGGGGTTTATTTTACTTTTTTTTTGATGGAACTGATCCTTTCCCAAAGAGAGACAACCACTCATCTGCAGTTTACATGGATCCTGAATTAGGAATAAGTGACAAGTGAGCAGTCCAACTCTTACCTCCTCATGCACTCCAGTGCCTGGGTGAAGACCTGAGGAGCCATTCCATGTTCATGCTGCAGGATCAAACACTGCTCTAGAGTCACTGACATGGCTGTCCTGTCCTTGGCACTTTTACAACTTGTAAATCGAACACCATTTAGTCTCCGGCATATCTAGAAGTGGGATATACAATTCATTATTTCTTCTTTGTGGGAAACACTCTGGCTAAGAGAACACACTTATTTTCCCTCTCAAATTGCATTTTGCATCAGCTCACACTTTAGATCTCCGATGTCAAAGTCTTAGTATTAGAGGCAGCGTGATGGAACCACTGTACCTTTAATTACTGGTGTTGTGGGAAAAAGTTATTTTGGAAAGACATTTCACCAAGATGGTAATAAGATTTGTCTTTAATTTTGGACAGAGCTTTTAGATAGTGTTTTACATTTTTAATCTAGTGATTTCTGACATCTGCTTGTCAGACTGGTCTCTTATTCTATAGGCCAGAGGAGAATGGTGAGATTCTCTCTGTGGAAAGACATCTTCCAACCCTTCCACCAAAACACCCTCTAATAGCTGTGTGAAGAATTTATTGGATTTAAAGGTGGATACTTTCCTTTCCCACCTTAGAGATTTGGGTAGGGGCCGCTTAAAAATTTACTTGCAAGACAACTGGGAAATTTGGAAATATAGGTTATAAAAATAAACTTGAAAGAAGAAAGGGGAGTATATACTGTACATGTACAAAACAGACTGTCAGAGCGTGGCAATAATCAGAATGATAAATACCTCAGCAGCTTGCCAAAGAATATCAACATTCTTATTTTTTCTTGCATGTACATTCTGTCCCAAAAACCTTAACAGTTCAGGCAGGCACGTCTGACTACGAGATCGAGGTAGGCCTACAAAATAAAAACAACTCCTACTCATTAGTGGCCATTGGTTACACAATGATAACTTCTCAGGGCTGAGCTGAACTGTTACATGTACCAGCTAGAACCTCAGCCATGTTCTCCTCAACTCATCAGAGCTTTACAACTCTGAACTACTTAGCACTATTAAACAGCCCAAATTAAAGCTTCATTTAAAGCTAAACTAAACTGCAATATTTACGGTATATTCACAGGATTTCAGTCTCTGGGAACTCAGAATATGACTGCAAAGTAATCACACAGGAAAACAGGATCAGTTTACTATCCTATATGTTGGGTGTCATATTTCCCCCTTCAAGAGGCCATAGTGGATTGCACCTGTCCCTGCAATAACTCTGGAAATCTCATTTTACTTTCTGCCCTCCCTTCAATGTCCAACATCACAGCATCCACAAACTTTCAGATTCCTGTCAGCATTATTCAGGTGGTCAGAGAAGTCATTACTGAGTGATGTCCCTGCAGGACTCAGCATTCTGTGGATTGTTTATTAATACTGAACTCAAATTAATTAAGGTCTTTGATTAAACTCCTACTGAAGGAAACTGACAGCCCTTCAAAATGCCATGGAAATTTCAGTGGTCACCTCTCTTTATAATCCAAGTGTTATATATTATTTAGTACACAAGTATCAAGGTCCTGTACAGCAATTATTACAAAGTAACGACATTGTACACATCTTAAAGCTGCAACTGGATAAATGAGGTGATATATACTGTTAGAGAATTATTATCTGACAAAATAACATGCTGTGAACCATGTGATTCAGTTTTTGGACCACGGCTCTTCTCTCAGATGGTATCAGGGCACCAGCAAGCCATGAGAATAGCTACTCTTAATGGTCTGCCCTGCTGGCTCCCTACACAGAGAGATTGCCTGCTGTGAGGAGGGTGTACATTCCAAATGTTTCTCAACAGGCCAAGAGGATAAAATAGAGGAGAAACACACTTCATATCCTCTCTCCAGCCAGGAGTAATTCATGCACTTGAAGTCCTGAGGTGCTTAGATCTTACAAGTCTGGAGGGTCCTGCAGGAAGTTTCTTCTGGCAATAGGAGAAAAGCAGAGAAGTTGCTTTTGGGAGGCATTGACCCTGGTTGACTCCTCCTGAGTCTCCATTTAAGTAATCTGTGTCTCCCAGAGCACTTTTTCCCTTGAACAAAGGACCAGCAGTTTCACCAACGGCCATTCGTCCTTTGCACTTATGTAGTTGCTGATACCAACCATCTGCTTTGCAGCCCGACATCAGCTGGGGAAATTGTTAGACACTCTCCTTGCTCTGCATGAGTTGGACATGGGCTCATGGAGAATAGTGCCTGTTTCAGCTTGTAACCCTACTCAAATAATGCCACTCTGTGCTTGGAATAGAAGCAGGAAGAGAACTGCTCTGACTTCCTTCCCTCCTGTAAGCATACATCTGGTTTTATCCCAGCTTTTCATAGGATGTCCCAGAAACTTTTTCTGAGGCACCTGAAATGTCCCAATTTTTCACATCACTAATCAGAGTATCTGGTTAATGTATAATCACAAAACATTTGTTCAAGATGTATTGTAATACCAAGCAGAATTCATTCCTGGTAAACACAGAGCAAACACTCCAGTGGCAGGAAATCCAGTGTGATGAATGGTACTTGGAGTGAAGAGAAAAGCCAAATGGGTATAGACACTATCAAAGCTGTTCTTTCGCTCAAAGTACATATTAGTGACACTTTTTCAATGTTTGTTACAAATTATACCTGGTAGGACACGCGCACAACTGCTGCAAATTATACCTGGCAGGACACGCACACACACAGTTCGAATCTAGGCTGAGGCACATGAACTAAGTCCACAACTGCAGAGTTCCCAAAAAACACCAAGTTTATTACGCTCGAGCGTGGTGCCTCCCTGCTAGCCAGGAGGGGACCCCGAATACAGATTATACAAAGGTTATATACCTCTTAGCAAAGCATGTTGCCCTCGTGCATCAGAAACCTTAGCCAATAAACAAACCCTTTTCTCATCTACCACCTATCCCTGCTTGGTGCATTCCTCGTGCTAAACTAGTATGTTAATTACACAGCATGGTCCTAAAGCAATGCATCAGTAACTTTTATTATCAGGATGGGAGGCCTCACATCAAAGGCCAGGAGATAGGGAGTTAGGGACAGATAAAGAACAGATACTGGGAGTCAAGGCAGGCTGGAGACAAGGAGGAGGATTTTCACAGGAATGCAGTATCTAAGGAACACTCCTCCTGGAGCATGATGTGCTTGCTTTTAGACAATGGTGGGCCCTAAACCAAAATGGAATCACATGTGCTAACTTTTCCTTAACAAAGTTTCAAGATAAATTTACTCAGAACATTAAGTTACTGTAAGAAAGCTTCTAGTGCAGAAAATATGTACATGTTGGTATTGAGGTGGAAGCTGGAAGTATAGCACCAGACACCACTTTTTACAATAAGATGTACTTTTGTCATTTGAATGACTATTTCACCATGCTAAAGACACCATCAAAGAGGCGTCCCAGGGTTTTAATTCAGAAAGTATCATACCTCCTTCCAGCTCCACAAAGGACACAAACAAGAGAGGTGTAGGAGAGGAAGACACTCAAGGTAAGAGGAGGGACAATGAAAAAAAGATGGAGCTGCAGTGAGTATCAGAAAGAGACTAGGGAAGATCAGAAGAAGATAAAGACTGGTGGACAACAGGACACGGTCTGTTCTTCCTAGCTTAGTTCGTCTCTCACAGGGGCACGAAAACAGACTGTAGGATAAGGAATGCTCAGGAAAGAAAGAGTGAGAGCTAGCAAAGCAAGAGACAGAATTAAATGAGCCAAGGGAGAGAGAAGGGAGAGGAGTGAACAAAACAGAGAGGACAGAATTGGAGAGGGAAGAAAAAATGATTTGAATAATTCCTCACATAGACAAGAAAATAAAGAAGAATGAAGAGAGAGGAAAAACAGAAGGAGACTGAAAGTTAATTATATTATTTAACATGTGGCACCAAACTATTACATTAAAATCAAATGTAGTTTTTGTAGGTGAAGTCGTCACAGAATGTGATTACGCAGGATTAATGGGAACTTGGAGACCAGGGGCCAGATTCTGTTCTCAACTGCACCAGGATAAATCCAGTATAATTGAGAATGCAATCTGGCCTCTGACTGTGATTAAAAAGGTGGGCAGTGTCCCATATTCCTCTGTGCAAAGGAGGAAGGGAATAACATGCCTTAGTTTGGGGAAGGAGGGATCTCCCTGGCATTGTTACCGGCCTTTCAAATGCTTATGTGTTTGTTTCTGTGTATGTATGTGTCTGATGCAAATCCCATAAATGTGGTTTGGAGCCCACTGGTTTTTGTGTATGAGGAAAGGTTGTGACTTCAGAGTTGTGCCAACTGATTTCTATCTTATTTTGTGGTCCCATGCAAAGTCCCTGCCTCCAGATAAAAGAAAAGGAAAAATGTACAAGAAGTTTGCCCTCATACAGAGTGGAATTTTGACTTGTAGCTTCCATACCTGCTCTAGCAGCTGGTTCTCCACTCTTTAAAGCAACCTCACTGGCTACAAATGCTAACATTTCACAGGAGCTTAAAAGGAAAGGCAGGAGGGATGGACTGTGTCCAGGGTGTGGTGTCTCAATCTCACAACAGACCATCATGCATGTGAAGAATACTACCATAGCAGCAGGCAGAGTTTCTGCCATGGTACCAGCTGTGAAAATATTCACTCGTCTAATTTTCCCCCAGCAGTCATATATTTTATAAGTAAATATACCACTCAGTGAAGGATAAAAATTGAATCAGAGTGAGCCTCAAATCATTTTATACAACACTATTTAACTCTGCAATTGCAACACATAGTTTCATCACTGCTCTGATGCCATTGATACTGCAGTAGTTTCAACATTTAATTTGATACAAACTAGTCAGCTATTTAAATGAAAAATACTGTATTAGGTCTACCTGCTATAAGTTACTGAGTACTTACAATCATCAGGCAAAACTTCCTTGAACTGCTCAAAATAGGAATTCAACCGAACTAAACTCTCCATATTAATTATTTCTTGTAACGACGTGTCTCCAAACCTTTAAAGATGAGAAAAGGGAACAACATTAGCCCAGAGATACCTTTACTCCTTTTCTTTTCTGATATTTAAGCATGAGAGGGTGACAAAGATTCAGCCTGTGAAAATCCTGAAAGTTCAAACCTCTACTCAGACAGTGAGTACAGTACACAAAGATAAAGAGATTTATTCCAGGAATAAAATTATATGTAGGTGCATACACACACGCACTCACAGGTTATGGCAGTTAATACTTAAAATCTTGGTTTCTCTATCTTTCAATATTAAAAGCCCATTTATTTAGAAATTTCAAGTTAATTTTGATTGGGAAAACACCATCTGAAACTTTTGCTGAGAACTTTTGCCCTGTTGTTTTGCCAGAGACAGGTAAAAGGGGTACAAAACAATGACGATCAGGACTAAGGAGAAGGCTGTAGTCACTGATCCAAAGATATGTGACTGAGAAACATGCTTTTATTTATCCAGCATTCATTTTCTTTTATGACAATAATGCAAGGTATTCCATCATCGCAGAAATGTATTTCCAGCAGGGTAAAAGATTATCTAGCATCATTTAAGGTTGAATTTTTGTGATTGGATATGTACTTCTCTGCTAGGGTTTGCTGCTCATTAATTCCCACGTTGAAAAGAACAGGCTGAACTCTCAGTAACATGCCGCTCTGAATTTCCCGGGGCAACGAATCAAACAAGGCGCTTGGCAAAGGAATCCTCACATTAAATCCATCACTTCAAACAAACAAACGGAAAATATTACAACTGAGACATTTGCTTACTGACCTGTATTTTTAAAAATGTGACGCTTCTTTTTCAAAGAATAATAGCTGAACATACAGCAAATTATTAATAGGGTATCAAAGACACGCTAGTGCTTTTAAGCTTCGTACTGATTAGAAAAGAAAGCAATTCAAAAACTGCAGCACTTAGCTTACGTCCTGATGTGTTTATCTTTTGTATTTTATCTGTTTACCTCACTGTCAAAAATTAGTTTTCACTTAATTTAGTACTGCAGAGTGCACACAGCTCTGGGAGAACAAGCTGGATGTTAGTGAGCCTCACACAACATCAACAGTCTGGTAATTTTGATTTCAAAATCTTTATTACTAATGATGATACAGAAGCAAGAAGAACCCAATTGACTTACAAGCCCCAGGTTGAATTTGCAGGACTGCTGTTTATGGATTGGAGGGTGGGGTACATGTAAAATGGGCAATTTGTTAGGGAGGACAATGAAAGAACAAATATGGAATTTTTACAGCATTTTTCTGACCACAATGGTAATTTAAAAAGCTTTCAAGCACTGCGCTAAGGAGCTTAAGAAAATATTGCATTAAAAAAGTCAGTCTGTCTTACATTGGATGGAGGGGAAAGAGCATTGTTTAGACCAAATTTGTAATTTTTAGTGGACAAAAGTAGAACACACAAACAGCAATTTCCCCTCAACACAAAGCTAACACAAAAATTACAATTTGGTTTTAGAAATGATGCTTCATTTTCTGTAGTCTAACTGAAGGTGAAAAGACACGCTTATGTCTATATTTAATGTCCCCAATATCTTGTTTTGCCCTTGTGTTGGTTTAAAATAACATTATTTCCTGTATTTTTCTTCTCTTATTGAACTAAAAGTACATCAGTTAAAATCTTAACTAAATTGCAAAGAAACACATTCAGTTCAGCGAAGGTCCTGCCCTTCCCTAGCTAAAGCCCCGATCTCGATACCAGCTCCCTATGGGCAAATCCCTGCATTTGTGCAGAGTCCTGCTGATTGCAATGGGACTCCGCATGGATGCAAGGGTATGCTGGTATTGTGCCAGGAGCAGGACTGCGGTCTAACTGACTAGAGGGCAGGTTGCAGTGTCTGATTCAATGTGTTGTCCTGGCGGTGTGAAAGCTTTGCTATTCTCACCAGAATAATGCTGTAACAAATCCTAGTGCATATTGGAGAACAGCCTTTTGTTAATTCAAATAGACTTTTTATTTTTTTATCTTTTTAAGATGAGACTTCAAAAATGCTTGAAACCCTTGTGATTATGAAAAGCCAGGACAACTTAATATTTACACTTGATAACAAGTTTGTCATTTTTCTGGCTTCATCTTCTGATGCACTTATCAGTTTAGCTGTTAAATTTTTACTATTGCTATATTTTACTATCAAGACCAGCTTCAAAATCATTTGGTTTGAAATGTTGGGATTGTAAAATATATCCAGATTTTGGCTGTTTTCCACCTGAGGTTCAAGTATATTTTTATCTTTTCTTCTTCAAGTCCCACTGCCCCCCTTCTCCTCCGTTCGGGGTGTGGGTTTTTTTTTTTTTTTGTTTTTTTACCGATTTCCTGTAATGACTGGCAGCATGTCAGCAGATGCATTTGATGTGGCCTGAGTTACTTTAAAGGTTACATTTCTCAAATCCATTATTCCCAAATTCATGTCCTCCAGCATTGCCAGCTCTTCACCTAAATCAAGGAGCGGAAAAGTGGATTGCAGTAATTACTTTCCATGAATAAACAATTTTCTCTTATCCAGTCTCATATACATACTTGATATGATTGGGGTTCACCAGCATTATGAAGAAATTAGGAGACCCTTATCCTTCAGCTGGATCTACCTGGATAGCCCCTTGCCTCCATGCTAAAAACCTTTGACATTAATGAGCCTCTCACAAACATAAAGATAAATAAACGTTGATCTGATTGCAAGACTGGAGTCTTAACTGGCTTTATGAATCTTGGTAAAGATGGAAAACATATGCATGGCTACAACCTTAAAGTATACTTCATATTCTTTTTCCATTGTTAAATAATGTTAGCAAATGCTTCAGAGGCTGGTCATATCCATAACCACGGTATTCTTTCTATTTGTCATCAGCTCAAAAAGCATTAATTCCATACTGCACAGTAGTATGAGTGGATACTGGATTTATTCATAGAGTCATAACTCCTAATACCGCTTCAGTCTCTCTTTCTATTATGTATTTAAGGAGGTTCAAGAAAGTGCAAATTGTATTTTTTGCAAGTAGTTCCTCTTAACGTGGTGGAGTTTAATTCCATTTCTCTTCAGAAAAGAAGAAGTATGATCAAGTAACCACAATCTTTTATGTTATGAAATATAAATCATTTAAATGAAAAAAAATACAAAGCTTCTATTTCAGGAGCTGACTAAATATTTAAACAATAATTTTGTTTTATGGTTCAGTTCAAAATTCTTTTTTGTTGCTGAACTGCAAATTACTCCAAATCCTGCACACTCATTTTGCAACTGTGGTCTATATTAAGCTGAACTTGTCAATTCATAAATAATGTCACCCGGCTTGACCCATGTAGAGTGATTTTACCATATGTGCTCAAAAGGCTTTCAAACTGCGCCAGCAGACCAATGGTGTAGAGCTGCCTTAGGAATCCATCATCATGCAGGCAGTTCCTCAGCTTGATAATGAAACCGCAAATAAGAGCTGTCAGCTACAGAAGAGAAGAAATACAAAAGTAAAATAACTCTAGATAATATGTCTCTCTAATCCAAAATGAAAGCATCGTAATATCTAAGAGATGCTGTAACAAGCTGTCAAACTGATACTCTTTCTTTAAAAGTGACACTCCTTCCTCACAGTTAAAGAGAAATATTAATAAAAAATGGGAAATATTTTATTTGATTTACAGGGATTCCTGTTGCCTTCAGGTCTATTAGTCTTTTGTTTTGCACATGACCAGTTCACCTGTGTATTAGAATCTAGGTTTTATTAATCAATCTTCAAGATTTCCTTGGAAAACAATTTCAATTACAGGTATAAAAGACATAACTAGTTTTAACTCTGAAACTTAGATTTAATATTAATAACAGATATCATTCCACTGACATTTTAAAAAAAGTTTAAAGGCTACAATGCTTGTTTTTATTATGCAAACATTTCTCTATAGTGTTGTGAACCACAGAACACCTGCTGACTTCAGTGGAAGCAGCTGGTGCTGAGCACTTCTCAGGATCAGGTCCCAGTACTGTGGTGGAGTCTTAATTCCGTGTTTGTAACAACACAGTCATTTCCAAGGCAAGTGACTGATGCCACTAACACAGGATTATGACTTCACTGCAAAATTAAGCCGAAGGAAATAAGTTTGATTTATGAGGGGGACATTTTTTTTATTCAAAACAGATCTTGTTAACAGCAGCAAGTGGTTTACAGAAAATGCCCATATTATCAATTGCTTTTTGTATAAAATAGTCTCTGAATTGATCCCCATATGAAAATTCCTTGGGGGATCATTTAGGCTGAAAGAAGATGGCTAAGGGCTGTTTGAACTATTTAAACTAGGTAACGGTTACTGTAAAATTAAACTTGATGATTTGAGGTTATTAGACAAAGTATAACTAGAGCACCAAGATTTAAAATCATAAGGAGTATCTGTAAGGAGAATTTGAGTACGTTTTTTTCTATGGCGTGTAGTGAGTTAGCAGAACGAACCTCCAATTTAGCTGATGTCAAGTAGCACTGATGTGTTTAAGCAAAGACTGTGTGACTATGAGAGGGCATAGAATAATCTACTTGCCTACTCGCCAATGGCAAATTGTCAGCTTTCCCTGGTGAACAGGAGGAAAGTAAGTATAAATTACTCAAAATTTAAGCTTTAATTTAAAATATTATGGCACCCAATTGTAGCAAATGTGAACCAATACTCAGACTTCTGAAACTGAACCCTAGAGGAAATATCTATCCGACACAGCAGAGAGATGGCTCCAGCACCTGTGCTGCAGCTCCTGCTAAGAGCTATGCCAAGCGGCAGCTGAGTGAAAACTGACTCCCATCAAGTTTTCATTTCTACTATTCAAAACCCCAAGAGCAACAGTAAAACTCACAATAACCAAGTCAGTTTCACTCTGCTGTTGTTTGGGAAAGCTAGGAGAAACAGCAGAGATGGGCTCTGGAGCTATTCACAGGAGGAGGAGACCCTGGAAAACGGAAGCCTGAGGAGGAGGGCAGAAGGCACAGAGTAGTCAGGAGGCTATGGGCAAGTCTACACTGCAGTGCTACATTGGCGCAGCTGCACCGCTGTACCACATCTGGCGAAGACACACTATGCCGACAGAAGAGCGCTCTCCCATCAGCATAATTATTCCACCTTAGCGAGAAGCAGAAGCGATGTCAGTGGGAGACGCTCTCCCCCGACATAGCACTGGTGTGGATAGCGTTTAGGTCAATCTAATGTGCGTTGATCGGGGGATGTCTTTCACACCCTTGAGTGATGTAAGTTAGATCGACTTACGCGGTAGTGTAGACTGGCCCTATCAGGTGCGAGAAGAGAGTGCGAAAGTTCCTTCTGTCTTTCAGTAGACAGACATGTGGGAAGCCCTTCAAATTTATCAGACATCTTCTAGTCAGAGGCAGACAGAAAAGCCTGAGCCCCCAAGCAGGGTCCAGGGACAGCACTTGAGTAGAAATCCCAGCACCCTTACCTTTCCAAGCAGCTGGGGTTGGGAGCTAGACTTCTCTCCAGGGAATTACTCTCAAGCCATGTTTACACTGCAGTCAGAAGTGTGACTGCAGCTCAGATACACATAGCCACTCTAGCTTAATCTAACTATCTCACTAAAAATAGCAGCGAAGACACGGCAGCACTGGCTGCAATGCATGCAACATGAGCGCATGGCCAGGGGTCCCAGGAGGGCTTGTAATAGCCCATGAAGCCATGACTTCACTGCTATTTTTAGCTGTGCTAGCTAGGTAGTGCATGTATGCCTGCCTAAACTTCAAATTACACCTTCAAGAATGGCATAGACATAGCCTTAGACCTTGTTGGTTCTCTCCTCCTCAAATCCTGCCACTGATATCTGATACATTTTGTAGCCCTGCTTTAAGTAACATATTAAAAATGATATTTGTCAGTTTTGCACTTAATGCAGGCAATAATCTATTGCAGGTCATGAAGAAATGTTTTGCTGATCATGAACATGAAATATATGCCAGAATGTGGGTAAAAGAGAGCAGGGGACATACAATTCTCCCCCAAGGAGTTCAGTCACAAATTTAATTAACTCATTTTTTTAATGAGCGTCATCAGCATGGAAGCATGTCCTCTGGAATAGCGGCCGAAGCATGAAGGAGCATATGAATGGTTAGCATATCGGGCACGTAAATATTTTGCAATGCCAGCTACAAAAGTGCCAGGCAAATGCCTGTTCTCACTTTCTGGTGACATTGTAAATAAGAAGAGGGCAGCATTATCTCCTGTAAATGTAAACAAATTTGTTGGTCTTAGCGATTGGCTGAACAAGAAGTAGGACTGAGTGGACCTATAGGCTCTGAAGTTTTACACTGTTTTGTTTTTTTGAGTGCAGTTATGTAACAAAAAAATCTACATTTGTAAGTTGCATTTTCAAGACAAAGAGATTGATTGCACTACAGTACTTGTATGAGGTGAACTGAAAAATACTATTTCTTTTATCATTTTACAGTGCAAATATTTGTAATAAAAATAATATACACTTTGATTTCAATGACAACACAGAATACAATATATAAGAAAATGTAGAAAAACAACATATTTAATAAATTTCAATTGGTATCCTATTGTTTAACAGTGCGATTAAAACTGCGATTAATCGCGATCAATTTTTTTAATCACGATTAATTTTTTTTAGTTAATCGTGTGAATTAACTGTGATTAATTGACAGCTCTACTAAATTAGCATAATTTTTAAATGAATATACAGGACAGAGAGGGCAGACAATTCATTTTATTGGTAGGTACCTATATGCAGTACTATTTTTCCTATGGCTATATCCAAACAGCATGGTGCACAAGCGGGGAGGCTGCATTTGATTTCTGCACTGCTGTTAAGACAGTAAGTATAAAAGATCATTATCAGTTCTAACTACATTAGTCTCTCAGACTCCTAGAAAACCCACCACAAGTCTAACTGTAATCATATCAGGCAACTTTCTTGCTTACAGTTTGGCAGAAGACAACATCCCTGCGATATTGAAGGCTCAGGCACAGAGCTATTGTAGGAGCGCTATCTTGCATTAACAAAAAGACCATAGCTTTCTTCGCCTTGTCACTCATCATGGCTACACAGTCCGTGAGCGTTGTCAGCAAGGGATAAAGAGCTTCACTCCATTCACCTGGTTAAAAAAAAAATTTTAAAAAGACATTTTAAACACTTTTATTTTGAAAAAGAAAAAAAATGTTAAAGCCATTGTCCTAAGAAACCTTCTGGCTCAATTTGAAGTAGAACTCTATTGATAACAGGGTATTTAGCACAGTCTAATAGCAGCTTATTTTTCCTGGCTGGCCCATTTATTTCCAGTGCTATTCAGTACCATACTGTAATGTCCTTAAAAAGACTTGTTATTACAATAGATCAATAAAGAATGCTCTCCTGTGCAAGGCTGGGGTGGTGGATATTCTTCAGCATATAATAGCTGCCGTATTTGCCTACAAAGAGCAGGCAGCAGAATAACTGATTTATAAAGCACTATGAAAGAGGAGGAACATAGGAAGAAAGAAAGCGAAACTGTATTCTATGACAGATATATAGTATAGCTAATTGCTACTAAATTTCTTCTGCCCCTTGGTGTCAAAAAGGCTTCTCCTAAATCTATTTTACCCTTCTGTGGTACTTACATGGCTCCCAGCACCTCACAATCCCCAATGTATTTATCCTCAGAACACCCCTGTGAGGTAGGAAAGTCTTATTATCCCCATTTTACAGCAAGACTAAGTGATTTCCCCAAGGTCACCCATGAAGCCAGTGACAGAGCAGGGAACGGACCCTAAGATTCCCATGATTCCCATGCTAGTACCCTAACCATTACACCACCCTTCCTCTCTAAAACTCATTTACCATAAGAAGTCCCAGTAGTTCAGTTTTTCCATTATTCTACTCCTTTCTTCCCTCCCCACATCTTAACCATCCTCCAATTTTTTAAGCCCACTTTCATCATTCTGTGAAAAAAGTTAATCAGACACTGTGCTGAAACTTTTTCCACAGTACAAGACAGGGTAGAAAGGTGTTCTGCTTTTGGTCTTTTTTAAAATAGAAATTTAAAAAGGGAAAACAGCTATTTAAATCACTTTTATTTTTAACATGCAGTACAGTCCCGAAATGGAAGTCATATCACCACCAGACTGGCCGCACCATACAAGGTGATGTTTTTGCATAGTCATGCAAAAACAGGATCACTTCAGGCCTCTGACAGGAAGCTGTCAGGATTTCAATTGAAGTCTATGGTTAAGAGCCAACAACAATACAAGTTTCCCTGATAACCATCCAAAGAGGGAAGTTATGGAAACTTGCTAACAGAAACATCATAAATGACAAGTCCAGAAGTATTGTGCTTTTAAAACCTCTGTCCTATGCAGGAGACAGATAATCTAATAAACTGAATGAAAGGAAGTTATTTGGCTCTGTTCCACTGGATATAATTACCTTACTTTAGTAGCAGGAAAGCTCAGAAGAGCTAACAAAGAATTACAGCTTGTCTTTTATTCTCTATTATACAGTTTTTCCAAAATAATCAAATGCCCTTGTGATGGTGCACTCCATATGCTTTATGAAAATATGCCTGGAATGTGAATATAATGTAACTGGAATATGCTTTATGCAAAAGGTCTCTTGTAAAGTATCATTACAAAGCTTATAACCTACTGCATGTGTTCATCCTATTTGTATGTATTTATCATTCTTGTATCTATAACTAGAAATATGAAGTTAACTCTGAGGTCCTATTGTAATTATGCAAAGTGTGGGCCATTAATGATGGCTTGGAATCTTGATGGCTCCCATTGACCAGGACAATTGGTTGTAAATGGCTCTGTTTACTTGTAAGCCTTCCTGCGTTCCTGTGAGCTAGACCGGGAAGAATGTCACCTGGTACTGGAATCCATCTTAAACCCGGTGCTTTTCCATTTAGAAGGAGGGGTGGACACCCAGAGACACAAAAGATTTCCACGTTGTGCCAAAGCTATAAAAGGGGGCGGAACAGAACGAAGGGGGCTGCCGCTGCAGTCATGAAAAAACTACTAAAGATCACCTGAGCTGGAATGAACAAGGACTGTACCAGGGGAAAGGATTGGGCCCAGACTAGGAAGGAGTCTAGTCTGTGAAAGAAGCTTATTGGAACATCTCTGAGGGTGCGATTTACCTGTATTCAGTTTCTTAAATGTATTAGGCTTAGACTTGCGTGTTTTGTTTTATTTTGCTTGGTAACTTACTTTGTTCTGTCTGTTATTACTTAAAACCACTTAAATCCTACTTTTTATACTTAATAAAAAACCACTTTTGTTTATTATTAAACCCGGAGTAAGTGATTAATACCTGGGGGAGCAAACAGCTGTGCCTCTCTCTATCAGTGTCATGGAGGGAGGACAATTTATGAGTTTACCCTGTATAAGCTTTATACAGAGTAAAATGGATTTATTTGGGATTTGGATCCCATTGGGAACTGGGTGTCTGGGTGCTGACACCCAGCACCAGCTGGGTGCTGACCTGGTCTGACCTGCTGACCTGCTGAATGATTTTCAGTTAAAGCCTGCAGCTTTGGGAGCGTGGTTCAGACCTGGGTCTGTGCTGCAGCAGACTAGCGTGTCTGGCTCAACACGGCAGGGTTCTGGAGTCCCAAGCCATCAGGGAAAACGGGCTCAGAGGTAATTTCAGCACATCAGGTAACAGTCCCAAGGTGGTCTCTGTGACCGAAGCTGTCACAGCCGTAACCTGGAACTATGAACCCTCAGAAAGCAAAATACAGATGATTTTAAAGAAAATATTTCTCGTTATTTTCTTTAAAGAGCTTTGTATAAAAGGATAAAAAGAATGGAAAATATCTTCTAGAATGTAGCCATTCCAACACATGGCAATATTTAAGTTTTTAAATAATCCAGGGGGAGTTAAAATTCAAAATTATTATATGTCTTTGTCAACAAATCCATTTAAAAAACATGGATACATGTTTTAATCAAACTGTAAATCAGTAGCATTACAAAAAGAGACATTGGTGAGGCCTCATCTGGAGTACTGTGTCCAGTTTTGGGCCCCACACTACAAGAAGGATGTGGATAAATTGGAGAAGGGCAACAAAAATGATTAGGGGTCTGGAACACATGACTTATGAGGAGAGGCTGAGGGAGCTGGGATTGTTTAGCCTGCAGAAGAGAAGAATGAGGGGGGATTTGATAGCTGCTTTCAACTACCTGAAAGGGGGTTCCAAAGAGGATGGCTCTAGACTGTTCTAAATGGTAGCAGATGACAGAACGAGGAGTAATGGTCTCAAGTTGCAGTGGGGGAGGTTTAGATTGGATATTAGGAAAAACTTTTTCACTAGAAGGGTGGTGAAACACTGGAATGCGTTACCTAGGGAGGTGGTAGAATCTCCTTCCTTAGAGGTTTTTAAGGTCAGGCTTGACAAAGCCCTGGCTGGGATGATTTAACTGGGAATTGGTCCTGCTTCGAGCAGGGGGTTGGACTAGATGACCTTCTGGGGTCCCTTCCAACCCTGATATTCTATGATTCTAAGAGAATTCACAAAGAGATAATGCAATTCTTGGATTTTTTCCCAAGGTTCAGCTGTCATGTAACGTAAGCTCTCATGGCTCAGTGGGAGTGCACTAACGTTTCCTCTATTGGTATATTTTATTTATGGTTTGGAACATCAATACTGAAATTGAAATCCTGTCATTTAACAGTGTGACACTGCTTTTCCCTCTAAGTTGAGAGGAGAGATGCCACACATGTAAATTAAAGAAATCTGACAGTAGCAGCAGCAACTGACTATAAACTAAGAGGAAAGGAATAATAACTGACAGATTCACATCAGGATTGGACAGCCACTGGCAGTTTTAAAATAAATTGTCTTTAGTACTCATATATACACTTTCCTCAATCAGGTTTTTGTTTGTGTTTTCTTTAACAATATCCTTAACAGGATTTTATTGTTGGAACTATACATTCTATAAAACAAAAGATTCTGAAACACTGTCAGGTACTTTAATTCTGTTGTGACAACACAATACACTTGAGCTCTGTGCTTACATTTTATGAAATCACCAGAACACTTTAATGGCAATACATTCTCTATGGGACAATTAACAGGATGGCTTGCCTCTGAAGGGCTGGAGCCAACCAATTCCGATATTAAGGGGCCACACCTGGGTATGGATCAGGTGATTTCCCTAGAAAGAGCAGCAGGAGGCTGCAGTGATGTGCAGATGCTCAGGGAGATCACAGATGACTATGAGTGATGAGACTTCAGCAGGGAGTCCTGGAACCTGGGACTGAGGCTCCAAGCAGGAGAGGCCTGGGAAAGAGGCTAACATGGATGGATTTTGTTTTGGAGCAGTGAGTTTTACGTTTTAGTTTATTTTATCTGAATAAACCCAGATCCCAAGAAGGGGTTTGTGAATGGACAAAAAGGATGTGTGGAGTCTAAGAAGGCCCAGGAGCCACAACGGGGCTCTCGGGAGGCGCCCGATCTGGTGACAGGCAAATCCATAGCTAGGGTAAATTATCATAGCTCCACTGAAGTCAATATAACTTTCAAAGTAAATGGAGGTGTGGATGGGAGTGAGAGGGGCAATTACGCTGATTTAGAGCGGCTGAAGATCTGGTCAAAAATGTTCAAAGTTGCCATTTGTTTATTTTGTTTATAAATATCCCCTTTTTACCAAAGTTTCTAATTTATCTTAAAAAGTTGCTTCAGACTGAAGGCCAAATCTCAGAGTACCCACTAAGAGACAGTACCCATGGAAGTCGAGGACAGTCTTGCTTGGTAAAGGATGTCAGGATTTGGCTCCATATGTCTTCTCTATTTATTGCTATTAGGAAGCCAGGAGGAAGGCCTAAATGGGAGACACCTCTAGGGACATTTTGCTTTCCATAGGGAAGAACCTATGGAAATAATGAGATTAAAAGAATGCAGCCAAGGCAGAAAAACACTGCATATGGGAGGAAGAGAAAGAGCTTCTATAGGTGAAAGGCTGTGATGATGGGACATGGAGCACAGAAATTAGCTACTGAAAATGACCCACCAAGACGTATAAGTAGCTCCTCTCAGGACTACTGCATGCAAGCCCTATTGCTTTTATCCCTGGAAAGTCTATTAAAGTTAATGTGTACACACAGAGGTGTACTGGGGGAAAGGTGTGTGTGTGTGTGTGTTGTGTGGTTTATATCTTCCTTTTCGACAGCAGTAAAAAGAATAGAGCAATAAAGGCAGGGTCATATATCAAAGCATTGGGCACCTAAAGCTGCACTTTTACTCAGCAGCTCTGAAAACCAGATTATTCATTCAGGATCTGACCTAAGTGTTTAGCCCCTGATTCAGCACAGCAGGGCTCAAGTCCATCCATATTCAATAATATATTTAAGCATGCCTTGAAGCCCCACTGACTCCGATGAGAGTTAGGTACATGCTTAAGTGCTTTTCTGAATTGGGTATGTCTACACTACAAAATTAAGTTGACCTAATTTATGTTGGCATCCAGCCATTGCAATAATTACATTGTTTGTGCGTGTCTACACTTTGCTTCTTGTGTCAGCGGTGCGTGTCTTCACCAGGAGTGCTTGCACCAATTGAACCGTCAGTGTAGGGCATGGTGGGATGGCTTCAGAAAGCCAGCAACAGTTGATGTAAGCAATGCAGTAACTACACTGACACTGCGTTGACCTAACTACGTCTACCTTGACTCTATGCCTCTCGTGAAGGTGGAGTTAAGTCAGTGCAGTGGGTGAGCTACATTGGTGGGAGTGAAACCTTAATGTAGATGCTTGCAGAATTGGGTCGATGTAAGCTGCCCTGCATTGACGTAACTCTGCAGTGTTGACAAGGGCTTAGTTACGTAAGTTTAGGTACCCCGTTTTCAACATGATGATTTGCTAACTGATTTGCTTCAATTTATTCCTCTGCAGAAAGTGGATACTTCTCACCTACCTACCTCACGGGGGTGTTACAAGATAGCAATACTACGACGACGACGACTGTCTGTATTGCACTTTGAAGATTAAAATCACTGTATCTTGTCTACAACAGGGACTAAGGATACACATACGCAGTGTATAACAGAGGAGAATTTTTACATACTCTAGCTATGGTGCAAAGAGATGAAAGTTAGATCAGCATGGGGGTCAGTTTAAAGGACATGGTTTTAATTTCTTGAAGATTTCATTTGGCCCAGAGGATGTGACTGCTGTGTCAGTTCAGAAATCAAATCTCTGCCCCACTCCCAAACTGATCTCCAATAGGAGAGAGAAATCACAGTAGTTTAATATGAGACAGAGGCAATATTTAAGCAGAATAATTTAGAGACTGTGAATAAACTCTCTGGTGTTGTGAAGAGGAGAGGTAGACTATGAAATCAAACTCTTTCAAATTTGTGTTCTGAACGTTAAGTTTGCGATGGCCTACAATGCTGTGGTACACCCACAAAGCAATTACTTACCCTCTATCATCCAATCAGATCGCTCCATTTCCTAATGCCCATTCAGAATACTAAATTTAACACCCAATAAATGGCATTATGTAAGGTCCATTGAAATAAATAATCACATTACAATTGATATCCATGGCCTTTGGAACAGGTCCTACGTTAGCACTTCTCAAATCAAGTTACTAGAACTTGTCAACTAGAGAAATTAAAGGTAATATCACTGAACATTTCTCATCAACATATAAAGCAGTAGTTCTCAAACTTTTGTACTGGTGACCCCTTTCACATAGGAAGCCTCTGAGTGCAACCCCCCTTATAAATTAAAAACACTTTTTTATATATTTAACACCATTATAAATGGTGGAGGCAAAGTAGGGTTTGGGGTGGAGACTGACAGCTCGCGATCCCCCATGTAATAACCTCATGACCCCGTTTGAGAACACTTGATATAAAGCTACCAGACTCTATAGTGAGCCTGTTCCACTTCTCCTTAGGAAATAATAACCTATCAGATTTCACGGTGAGACAGCATGAGTTTATAGAAGTTAAGCAATACTTGTAGCTATATTTACTTCCATGTCTTCCTCCTACCGTGTTTTTATTTGGTAAAAAGGGGCTCACTGGGGAAAAACAACACTTTTCCTTGCACGTCTTTCCAATGCAGTATTAGATAACGTATCAGCAAAACACTTGTTCCATTGTTAAATACAAACAAAAATTGCAATTTGCAGAAGCCATGAATGGAAAACGCACATACCTGGGCTGGACTCTTCAGGAGGGGGGCTGCAATCTGCACAGAAATGGAGGTGCAACATGCATGATTAAGGAGCGGCAACACAGTCTCAACATAAGCAACTCAAATGCTCAGTGCAGGGTTCTCAAACATTTTCCACAGAGTGGACCACAACTCAACAGATATTGCCTCATGGACTACCTCTCCGCCCAATATGATTATGTGGACTACCTCTCCCCACTACTCATGATCACATAACCACCATGTGGCAACTACAGCAATTGCTTCCCTAATATTATTTTCCCCTGTAAACATTTTTAGCTGCTTTTAAAATTTGATTTGGCAGTTGAAAAGAGGGTGGAGAAGCCAGTACCATGAGACCAGCTTGCTGTTTGTGGACCATCAGCAAGTTTTCCATAGACCACCAATCCACGGACCATAGTTTGAGAACCACTGGCTCAGTGCAACTGTAGAATAAGCTTGCAGTAAGGCAGCTAAAACAGAACAGCAAAAGACCAGCAAAAAAAATCAGCTTTTAAAGTGAATATCTGAGTCTATTGCAACATTTTATTTCTAAAATATTTCTTAGGCTTTCTGGATAAGTCTCTCCTTTCACCGTTTCAGACAATGTTTCCCTTCACAACAATTCACCCTTAGAATAAGCATGGCAAATACTTTCAACAGTGCTTTACTATGCCACTTTCACCAAATTTAGAATTGTTTGGTGGGGGGAAGGGTTTGGTTTCTTTAATACCGAATTATTATTAATCTCTAGCCAATGGTCATGGTTAAATAAATTAAATACTTTTCCCACACAAATACTTATAGAAAGGAGGGTATTTCTATTCTGGATGTATATCAGTCAAGGAAATATGATGCTTCTGAGAGCTTGTCTTCACATACAGCACTACTGTAGTTCTGTATGTGAAGACGCTCCTATGCCAAAGGGAGAGTTTCTCCTGTCAGCATAGTTAATCCACCTAGCTGAGAGGAGGTATCTATGTCAATGGGCGAAGCCCTCCCATCTGAGCTTGCTTAAACCTGTTGATTCATCAGAGGCAATTTACTGGCAGGTCTTATGATAGGCCCCACGCCGTTCAGTCAATCCACAGGCGAACACCCACCCAGGTGATTCCAAGACAGATATATAAGCTCCTAAGGGAAGCAGTTGCTCTAGTCTGCTCAGCGTCGCTACCTGACTGGGAATGCTCCCATTGTCAGTAGTTTCAACAGACTGCTCCTGTTCCAGCTCTGCCTCATTCCATGCTAGTCAGCCCCTATTCCAGCCTGCACTGTAGCCTGATGCCTAGCAACTCTAACAGGAAGAATTTTAAAGGTGCCATAGTCCTAAATTTTGCGTGTGAGCCTCTCTCAGGTTCACTGCACTATCCTTAATATTAGTTGTTGGAAACTGCTTCTGACATCCAGAAAAAAAACCCAGCGATGCATGGCTTGAAAATTTAAAAAGAATAGGTGAAATCCTAGTCCCACTGAAATCAATGGTAATATTGACTTCAGTAGGGCCACAGTTTCACCCAATATCGGGAACCATTTCCCTACCAGGAACTTCTAGGGTCCAATCCTGCTCCCACAAAAGTGAAAGGGAATTAGCAACTGACTTTGATGGGTGCATGATCAGGCATTTTGTTGCAGTGGCTTCCAATTCATTTCTGGTACAATTCAAGTAGTTGTTTTTGACCTATGGAACAGCTGGGGTCCACGCTACTTCAGAAACTGCTTCTCTCCTCATAATCTTATAGCTGGGATGAACACTCAGGATTGACAGATTTGTACAACTGGAAGACAGGCGCAGGGCATTCCTGGCAGAGTGCCCACAACTCTGGAACTTGCTGTACTTCTTATGTAATTGTTGTTCTGATGCTCAAATAGTTGAAGCAAGAAGAAAATACTCAAACAATTCTAATATGATAGCTTAATAATACAAAATACCCAGAAATGTAGAATATTCTCGAAAACCCCCTTGGCAATTTAGAACATTCATCAAATCATATGTAACAGACATTCAATTCTATATTATATGCTGTTAAAAAGTTAATTTTTAATACAAATGTTGTTTAGTTTTTAAGTTAACATCTCTTACTATGCTAAAATATTAATAGTGGAATGAACATGAAGTCACAGGCATGCAAAAATAGTGGAAGGAAGAGCCATGAAATACCACAGAGTATGAAACATGGAAATGTTCAAAACTCATATGACCTTTTCTAAGACTAAACACTGCTTGATCTGTTCTATGAAAATGACTATCATGAAAACGGTTTTTAAAAAAATCAAGACACAAAAATAAAGTCATTCTGAAATTTCATGCAGAGGTAGGAAATTTGTAAACCTAAAATAGAGCTTAAAAGTAGGATGAGTTTAAGAATTTCTCTCACTCACATGCTTAAGGCATTATTTATTTACAATATATTTAGCACCAGTTGAACTTATAGTTTTGATAATGTTATTGAGTTTACAGCTGCACTAGCAGGAGAATGGACTACAACGATCTTTTCTTTCCTACGTTTTATGCTTGTACTATAAAATCCGACTGATTGATTACTTTGATACCACATATTACCATAACTTTACTTAAATTCCTGAGCCAATTTTAAGGCAACCTTACCATGCAAACCAACAGTTACTTTTAAATAGCTGCATGCATTATTTTCAGTCAGTTTATACACGCTAATATACAGATAACCTCACAGTTACAACTTAAGTCTGATCAAACTGCCATTTAACTCACTGAAAAAGCAGTATGATTGGGCCCCAGACAATCACATTGGTGGCAAGGGGAGAAAACTTGCCAGGAGCCCCTCCTTCCCTCATGCTTCCTAATGGGACAAAACCATCAATTGGAGTGCAGCAGGGGTCTACTAGCACTACGTCTGTTGGGATAGGGGGTGCCTGGAGAATTGCACTAATGGAAAGATGAGAGGGAGCTCACACTACACATTTCCAAAACGCGTTGCAGAGGCCACGAGTAAGTGTGCTTTGCCCTTCCCTATCCCTCAGGGACCCTGAAAGAATTTTGTCTGTTCTGCCATTTTACAAATGGGTGAACTGGCACCTAAAGAGATTACAGCCAAACTGTTCCAACAAAGGTGCCTGTATGTAGGCACCTAAATGCATATTTAGCCACGTAGGTCAAAGTAGCTTAATTTTCAAATTCTCATTGACTTCAGTGGGAACTACAACTTGGGCACTTCTGAAATTCAGACCACTTTGATTTAGGTACCTAAGTACAGATTTAACTGCCTCACTTTAAGGCACCCAGACTTGAAAAAATAAGCATAAGTGACCTGCCCAAGGCCATACAGCAAAACAGCAGCAGAGCCAGATGTAGAATTCAGGAGTTCCTGGTTCCTAGTCATATGCTCAGTCCACTACATGCTGCTGCCCTTCATAAATAAATGGTAGGAACAAGAGCACGTTATCCTCGGTCATCACCAGGTCACCTCATTCACCTGAGAAATACTCATTCACTTGAGGAGCAGATCAGTAGGAGGATAAATATCATACACATCTTAAAAACCCAATGCACCTATCTGTTCTTAGCTCACTCTTCTGGAACCTCTCACCCAGCAGTACTTCCCTTCCACCTTCCCTGCACTCTCATTTGGCATTACAGTCTGGCAGCTCAGCTCTGTTCATCAGCATTGTATTACTGCATGGGCCACTTTCATGTTTTATTTTATCTTTTAAAAGGTACACCGGAATAGCCCTGATGCAGCCGACAAGCTGATGCCAAGAGAAAAAATAATGAGGTACTGGCATAACTGTCACAGCCTGACCCATATGCTGAGTATATCAGGCTATGATATTTTCCAGATTCATTCTATTCATCTGAAATCTGGAACCGCAGCTCTCAGAACACCAAGGGTGAAATTCTGATCCCACTGGAGTCAGTAGGAGTTTTGCCATTGATTTCAGTGGGGCCAGGATTTCACTTCAAAGGTTAGCAACTCCAAACTCACCCAGGCCCCGTTGTCTGGTATCTTTACTATTTAAAAAATTTAGAATTTGACATAAAAGATGGATTAAAAGGTTTAAGAAATATGCCAACATACAGCAAAGCGGTGTCTGTCATACGCACTTGTGTTTCTGTGAGAATGGCATGCAGAGGATGATATGGTTGAAGATGGTGGTGAGGATGATGAAGGTGAGGATGAGGTCTCATCTAAGCCTTTTGGATTTATCCAGTAGGCACGAGTATCCCGATTACCTTTCTTACTAGTACAGCTGATGTCACACTGGAAAACATCTTCACAGCTATCGCTGTGCAAACGCTCTTTCTGGAGAAGTTTGTCCACTCTCTGAATAATGCACTCCAGACTTTTGTCAACATTCAACCAAACTTTTTCCTTGAAAGAAAAATGTCCCCTTTTCAATTAAGAAGATCCCAACATTAGATGACAAGAACATTTGCAAAAAAGAGATACTTTGCATGCTGTGGTTCTAGACAAAATTGCTTAGGAAAGTTTGCGCTTTGCCATTGCATTTCTACATACATACTCCATATGTATCTACGTAAGTTTAAAGTGACATCCAAATGTTAAGCTGCAGAGCTGTGTGATAAATTTGTCATACAATTCTGACTCTCGTAAGCCGTCTGCCCACTAACCCATTTCCCCGGTTATTATTTCAACTTCAAATGCACATTTTTTTTAAACCATCAACCTAACAGGGAAAATGTTTCCTCCTCCTTCAGCCAAATGTGGAATTTTCTTCTCAAAAGTTACACCTGTCTGAGGTCCAGAATGGATAAAGTTTAGTCTGGGCCAGTGACAGCTTTTCCATCCCTGAAAAATTGTTACTTTAAATTCCAGTGCCCAGTGTTCTTGCATAACTAGAAATGGAACTTAGTACCACTGGAAAGGGAAGTCCCCAGCGTCCCAATGGGATCCATCACTCACTTCTAGCTTTAAAATGGCTAGAGCGCTTACTTTAAAGCCATGCTATTTTTAGGTACAGAAAGACTATTTTAGTTCATTTTAGAGGGTTTTTTGGTGTCTCCCTTTTGAACTCTGCATAGTTTGACTCATTAGCTAAAATTTTCAAAAGTGGCCTCTAATTTTGTTGCCCAAATTGAGACACCTTAGGCCTGTTTTTCAAAAGTGCAGAACACACATCTGCAACTTCAGCTGAAGTCAATGAGATCTGTGGGTAATCAGTAATTTGAAAAATCAGCCTCTAGGTCTCCCAAGCCTGGCACCCAGAAACTGAGACTTCCAAAGTCACAGACTACTTCTAAAAAAGTTAGCCAAACTAACTAAGGAATCTGAATTTACAGCTGGAGGGATACAAAAATAGTTCCAACAACAAATTTTAAAACTAAGACAAGACATTCCTAAAAGATTTTCCTTGTAAATCCTGTAAATGGGTATAAAGATTTTATTGGCATCCATTTGGGATGACCTGTATAACACACTTATGAGTAATGTGGCCATCCAAACTCATGCTGATAAAACCTTTATACCACAGTATCAAGTACTTTTATATGTAGCTGGTGTGTCTATTTACACACACACACACAGTACATATGTGAATATAAAAATACATGATATTGTGGTATAAAAGTTTTTTTATATATATATATATATGTACACACCCATAATTTCCCGTACATACTATTATAGCATAATGTAAAATCAATAAGCCATCAGATACAGAAGGGAAAGTTTACATCATTATTAGCTCTAAAATGCACTGACGTTATTTCTTTTCCTCCTGTATTTCATAGGGTTAATCACAATTCTAATCAATTTCAACAATTTTAATAAACACTGCATTCAATTCTGTTTCACTACACTGTTCGGACAGCTCAATTCTCATTTAAATTGGCAACATTAGATGGAAAGTTATTTAATTCTTGGTGCGACCTGTTTTAAAAGGCAGCTCATAATTAAAACAGAAACAGACACCTCACTTAAATATTTAGATTAAAAAAACAAGGAAAGCCTTTGAAAAGCTGTTTTTCAGAACTAATATCTAAGCGTATACTGCAAGAGTTCTATTTTTTTTCCTTCTTTTTTGGCTGCGTATGGAGATTGATAAAGGGACACCCTGCACAATGTTTCTTAATTGTTTCATTAAAAAGAATACTCAATTAACTTTCAATATAGAACTGACTGCAGTACAGCCAGGTGGCCCAAGTAACTGAGGGCAGGTCTGCACTTAAAATGCATTGATGCAGCTAGAAGAAAAGGAGTACTTGTGGCACCTTAGAGACTAACCAATTTATTTGAGCATGAGCTTTTGTGAGCTACAGCTCACTTCATCAGATGTATACCGTGGAAACTGCAGCAGACTTTATATACACACAGAGAATATGAAACAATACCTCCTCCCACCCCACTGTCCTGCTGGTAATAGCTTATCTAAAGTGATCAACAGGTGGGCCATTTCCAGCACAAATCCAGGTTTTCTCACCCTCCACCCCCCCACACAAATTCACTCTCCTGCTGGTGCTAGCCCATCCAAAGTGACAACTCTTTACATAATCAAGTCGGGCTATTTCCTGCATAGATCCAGGTTTTCTCACATCCCCCCCACCCCCATACACACACAAACTCACTCTCCTGCTGGTAATAGCTCATCTAAACTGACCACTCTCCAAGTTTAAATCCAAGTTAAACCAGAACATCTGGGGGGGGAGGGGGGGGGATGACATCTTCATCATCTGGACCCATGGAAAAGAAGCCCTTGAGGAATTCCACCATGATTTCAACAATTTCCATCCCACCACCAACCTCAGCCTGGTCCAGTCCACACAAGAGATCCACTTCCTGGACACTACAGTGCTAATAAACAATGGCCACATAAACACCACCCTATACCGGAAACCTACTGACCGCTATTCCTACCTGCATGCCTCCAGCTTTCACCCTGACCACACCACACGATCCATCGTCTATAGCCAAGCTCTGCGATACAACCGCATTTGCTCCAACCCCTCAGACAGAGACAAACACCTACAAGATCTCTGTCAAGCTTTCTTACAACTACAATACCCACCTGCAGAAGTAAAGAAACAGATTGATAGAGCCAGAAGAGTTCCCAGAAGTTACCTACTACAGGACAGGCCTAACAAAGAAAATAACAGAACGCCACTAGCCGTCACCTTCAGCCCCCAACTAAAACCCCTCCAACGCATTATTAAGGATCTACAACCTATCCTAAAGGATGACCCAACACTCTCACAAGTCTTGGGAGACAGGCCAGTCCTTGCCTACAGACAGCCCCGCAACCTGAAGCAAATACTCACCAACAACCACATACCACACAACAGAACCACTAACCCAGGAACTTATCCTTGCAACAAAGCCCGTTGCCAATTGTGCCCACATATCTATTCAGGGGACACCATCACAGGGCCTAATAACATCAGCCACACTATCAGAGGCTCGTTCACCTGCACATCCACCAATGTGATATATGCCATCATGTGACAGCAATGCCCCTCTGCCATGTACATTGGTCAAACTGGACAGTCTCTACGTAAAAGAATAAATGGACACAAATCAGATGTCAAGAATTATAACATTCATAAACCAGTTGGAGAACACTTCAATCTCTCTAGTCACGCAATCACAGACATGAAGGTCGCTATCTTAAAACAAAAAAACTTCAAATCCAGACTCCAGCGAGAAACTGCTGAATTGGAATTCATTTGCAAATTGGATACTATTAATTTAGGCTTAAATAGAGACTGGGAGTGGCTAAGTCATTATGCAAGGTAGCCTGTTTCCTCTTGTTTTTTCCTCCCCCCCCCCAGATGTTCTGGTTTAACTTGGATTTAAACTTGGAGAGTGGTCAGTTTAGATGAGCTATTACCAGCAGGAGAGTGAGTTTGTGTGTGTATGGGGGTGGGGGGGGATGTGAGAAAACCTGGATCTATGCAGGAAATAGCCCGACTTGATTATGTAAAGAGTTGTCACTTTGGATGGGCTAGCACCAGCAGGAGAGTGAATTTGTGTGGGGGGGTGGAGGGTGAGAAAACCTGGATTTGTGCTGGAAATGGCCCACCTGTTGATCACTTTAGATAAGCTATTACCAGCAGGACAGTGGGGTGGGAGGAGGTATTGTTTCATATTCTCTGTGTGTATATAAAGTCTGCTGCAGTTTCCACGGTATACATCTGATGAAGTGAGCTGTAGCTCACAAAAGCTCATGCTCAAATAAATTGGTTAGTCTCTAAGGTGCCACAAGTACTCCTTTTCTTTTTGCAAATACAGACTAACACGGCTGTTCCTCTGAAACCTGTCATTGATGCAGCTGTGTCACTGTAGCGCTTAAGTGAAGATGCTCCTGCACCGATGGGAGAGAATTCTCCTGTTGGCATAGTTAATCCACCTCCCCGAGAGGCAGTAGCTAGGTCAGTGGGAGAAGACGTCAACATACCACCATCTACACGGGGTGGGGTTAGGTCGGTATAACTTACTTGCTCAAGGGTGTTGATATTTCACATCCCTGAGCAACAGAGTTATACCAGCATAGGTCTGTAATGTAGACTTGATCTGACTCTGCTATTATGCAAGAAACTCAGGCTAATTTTTCAGTGCCTGCTTCTGCTCCTGCAGCTCAAAGGGCAGACAGAGAGAGGGCAGAAGGAGCACTTCAAGACACTTATCAGTGACCCCTTTGGGCAACTAACAACATGTCTACCTACGAGGACTACAGTGACATAGCTGTGGCACCATACCCCATAGTGTAGATGCAGTTTAGAGTGATGGAAGGCATTATTCCCTTGCTGTAGGAACCCCACCTCCCTAAGCTACAGTAGCTAGGTTGAGCACAACGACATCATAGAATATCAGAGTTGGAAGGGACCTCAGGAGGTCATCTAGTCCAACCCCCTGCTCAAAGCAGGACCAGTCCCCAATTTTTTTTTGCCAAAGATCCCTAAATGGCCCCCTCAAGGATTGAGCTCACAATCCTGGGTTTCGCAGGCCAATGCTCAAACCACTGAGCTATCCATTCTTTCATCAACCTAATTGCATCAACACTTAAAATACAGGTTGGCACACAGGGGTGTGGATTTTTAACACCCCTGAGTGCCACAGCTATGTCAACATACATTTTAAGTGTAGACCAGGCCTAAAACATGTAGTGATGTGCTCCAAAATAAGACTTGTAGATATCGGTGACAAGTGGCTAGTAGCTACATGCTAAGGGTCATAGGGCTAGGGAATAAAGGGATACTAAAAGGGAAAAAAGGAGATGACATCAGCAGACATCATCCCTCCATTCAGCAAACCTACCCATTCCTCTTCATGCCAATCCACCTGCAGAGAAGATCGGCTATTTCTTCCTGTCCATCTTGCCACAAGGGTGTCTTGATCATTCCTTAGCATCACTTGTTCCCCCTCTCCAGAGGTTGGAGATGCCTTTGAGGCTATATAATCTGGCCTTGCAGCATTTAATCCATGTATTGAATTTGCCAATAACTTGCAATCACAGACAGTGACAAGCTGCCGTGTCTAAAAATGATAGAAAACAGAATTTGAAAGCATTTTCACTTTTAAATCCTTATCTACATTCTTATTTTTTCATTAAAAAAAACTACCCTCATTTTGAGTTTGTGCTGCTTATTTTACAGCAGGGCCTTAAAAGGATGTATAGGAAGCAAAAATGTGAAGTGTAATTTTCAAAAATGTATACTGACATTTTAGGACTACACATGCTGAATATTTAACAAATACCTACAGTTCCTAGTGCATCTACCTAGAACCAGCACTTCATTTTCTGTTACGTGAAACAGTCTTTAAAAAACAAACAAACAAACACACACCACACCTCAGGCACCTTTCTACAGTCCACAGAAATTGGTCTCCTCTGGTATGGCAATGTTCCATTTAGTTTAATATCCTGTCTCAGCCAATGGCTAATAATACATGCTTCAGAGGAAGGCATGAAACATCCACCTCACTGTGCAATACTGTATCCTGGGGGGGAATTTCTTCCTTATTCTGGCAAATGATGTACGTAAGCCCTGAAGCATGAGGATTGCTGACCTACCTTTCTCCTAAATAACATAACTTCAGATACTATTCTTATTCACCTATTTAAAAAACACCTTACTAAACTATGTGCCTTAATATCCAGCAGCAGAGAATCCACAGGTCAGATATACACCATGTACAAGTATTTTTTCTGTATATTTTTAACTTTAATTTCATCACATACATTCTTGCATTATGGGAAAGTATACAGGCACCCCAAGTGGGTTTACAGTAAATTAACTATCAAATGCATTCTCTGTCAGAGTACTGCTTATTTATTAGCTATGCTTTCTTAGAACTCAGGCTACTACAACAAAAGAGTTCTATAAAACTGCATTTGTTCTTGTCCTTGTGAAGAAGTTTCATTCTGATTGCCTGTTCAGTCCATTTTTATTGAGTGGAGTGTAGCCCAGTGGGCTAGTTTACCTCTATTATATTCACTGCTTTGCATTATATTCTGCTTTATTATATTCAGCAGTAATGCAAGGAACCTACAGGCTTGTATCCTGTAAGTCATTGGCTTCAGCAGTTAGCATGAGGCCTATGACCTTTGGCATAGATAAACGTAGGTAATTCATAAGTTCTGGAGAATTGGAAGTAGAGTGTAGGGGTGGAATCTTGTCCATAATGGACATCAGCCAACCACAGAACATAAGTGATACCAGCTTCTGGTCGGAACATCCGACCACAAGAGTGCCATGACAACCAATTGACACATATGATAATGGAGAGAAATCATAAATGCACTGACCTATAGAAGGACACCTTAACATTGGTAAGGGAAGGAAATACAAATAAGGAAGAGGGGAGAAACCCTTACTGAATATGCATTAGACATGGTAACATCAGCGTAACATATTATAAAAGTGGCATCCCAAGGGCAGTTGGGGTAGAGCAATGTAGCCCTTGGGAGGGGCCAGAATGATGGCCACTGATGAAGGTGACGGTGACGAGGAAGATAATGGCTAACATTTCAGGTTGTTCTGCAAGGGATGGTGAGAGTATGGATGTTCAGATGTACTTTCTGTATTATTGCTATCTACCTTACTGAGTTAGAGTGTTTGACTTTGCTAAACATATTAATAAATTATTTACTTGTAAATATAAAAGAGTTCTTATAGTGTGAGTGTTGCACCTGTGCATATCGGGGTTCCCAACAATAAAATAATTTAAATAATACCGGCCCTGATCTTGGGACAAGAACCTGTCGACCCTCAAAGTGATAACTGGGGATTTTTATTCATAATCTATAGATCAGGCTACAGGAGTCAAGTATTAATTGAACAGCATCACTACAATTTGCCCCAAGTTCATGTCATTATTATACAAATGAAACGATAATGAATACTCCTTGTGGTGTTCCAGTTTCTTCAAGTTCCAGTTGCATGATATGAGCTCAACAAACCAATCAGTGATTATAGAGACATGAGTATGAAAGTGAATTTAGGATTTTCTTCTCTGGGATGTTGTGACTGGACATGTGGTGGAGATGATACTTTAAACTTGGGGAAGGAAGTCAGTAGGTATCACTCTTCTTTCTCGGTCCTCACCACTCCATCCATAGGAGGTGGAGGCAAGAGTGAGTGGAAGAGAAGAGAAAACCTGAATAAATGGTGGCAAATTCAAAAATTCCATCTGGATTTATCTTCCATTGGGGCTGGGTGGGGCCACAAAAGAGACCATTTTTGGATTTTTCAGGGAGCTCACAAAAAAAGGGGTGCTTCAGAACGTGTCTCACTTCACTTTTATCAGTGATTTTGTTTTGTTGTTCTCGTACCTTATCTGCCAAAATGGCAAGTGATCTTTCAAGGCCATTAGCTGATCTATCCTTGGCAGCTCTCGAGAGCCTTTCAGCATAGTAACTGACTTGAGTTTTCAGGGTGTTGATTTGTGCAATAATTTCCTTTGCTCTAATAATGTCCTGTGGTATGTATATTATAGACTGGGAGCTTGTTGAAGTGCTGAAAAAGAAGAAACAATTTAAAGACAATCTATCAGAAGGTATAAACGCTCTAGTCACACTTCTTCATGCCGAAAAAGGAATTGCAGACAACAAAATTTACCTAAGCTAACAATTAACCGTGGAAGACCAATTGGGCAATTAAACAGCAGGAACACTTATACCTGAGCACCTCTGTATTTAATGAAAACGTTCAGATGCAAAATTACTAATGCTAAATGACTGTGCTCACAGACCACATGCAGGAAGGACAATTTTCTGAAGAGAATGTGCATGACAAATTTTGTCAGCAGCGACAGAACCAGTTTCCTTAGGTTGCTTGCTCCACTCTCTTCCCAAAATGCAGACACTTTACACAGTTACACCTGATATCTCCTTGCCAGGTTAGGAATTTTAGCCTTGTCTGCACACAGCTATATCACTTTAACTACACCAGCAGAGTTAAAGCTGTACAACCCACCCTACTGTGGACACAGTTACATTGATATCATAGTACTTACACCAGTACAGCTTATTCCCAGATGAAAAGGAGAATAGACTACACCAGTAAAATGCATCTTTATATCAGTGTAACTGCATCCACATTAGGGTTGACCCATTATAACTATTTAGGGGGGAAAAACCACACCCTGAACTGAAATAGTTATACCAGTAGAAAGTCTCTAATCATGAAACTCGGGCTGTGGAGCTACAAAATTGCAGTGTAGACGTTCAGGCTCAGGCTGGAGCTTTGGGTCTAGGATTTCGTGGGGCTTCAGTCTGAGCCATACATCTCCACTGCAATTTTATAACCCTCCACTCAGAGTCAGCTGACGTACCAGCTGCATGGAACAGCATGCAGATGTTTTATTGCCTTTGTCTCTGCTCAGGGTGTGACAAGCGTGCTTTCCTATTCTGGATGAAGTGTCAAGTCAGAGATGCCTAAACTGGCACATGGTAATTTATTTCTCCTCCGCCTCACTTTTTCCTGTCATTAATTGCTTCATTGTAGCCATTAGACATAAAAGTACCTATTGTTAGTGTAAACGCCAGCTGTTGTTTGGTGGACAAAGCCATGCTTAGCATATCAGAGAGCCTAATTTCCCAGGTGCAATTGCCTCAAATCACTCTCTCTGAGTCTGAATTCTTTTGCTCTGGGGGAAGGGTGAGGGGAGTTAAGCCACTGATGGGGAACATATTTTAATTTTTATAAACTTTTGCAAGGAAACTTGAGGAATGTATATTCTATTTCTGGTGGAATTCTGCACCACTGCACATGTGCATAATTAATGTGCCATACATATTTTAACGTTTTTTGTGTGCAGAAAATAGCTTCTGCCAGAACATTGTTGCAGTTCTGCCTTTTGCCCACCGGGGGGCGATGTGGTGATAGAACAAAACAGCCGCTCCCAGCCAGATAGAGAAGAGAAAGAGCCTGCAGTGCCTTCTTCACAGTGCCTGTTGGGCCAGGGCAGGAGACAGGATATATGGGAAGGCAGACAGCCCGGGGCTGCTGGGGAGTCAGACAGGGACTTATAAGGGCTAGTTGGGGAGGACAGACTGCAGCAGGAACTGAATGGGAGTGCAGGTGCAAAGCCACATGGGGACAGGTGCAGGGCCACATGAGGGAAGGGGGATGGCTGAGTGGGGGCACAGAGACACATAAGGAGAGGGGGAGGGGTGAAGAGACACATGGGAGCAGAGGAGGGGTGCAGAGACATGTGTGGACAGGAGGAGGGGTGCAGGGACATGTGGAGATGGGGGAGTGGGTGTCTGAATTGGGGTGCAGGGACATGTGTGGACAGGAGATGCAGGGACACATGGGGATAGGCAGATGTGCCAGACTGAATGGGAGAGGCTAGGGGTCAGCCAGGGTCTACATGGAGGAAGTTCCCTAACAATCTCTTCCCCACCCCACCCCAAAAAACCTGTTCCATACTTTTCCCACCTGTACCCAACAACCCTCCAAGTTCACATCCAGGCTCCTTCCCAGCAATTACTTTCCTCTCTCTCAGCTCCTCCATTACCCCTGACTCCCCCAAGCCTTTGCACTACTTCTGAGGGGTATGGGAAATATGGTTCTGTATTGTAGTTTAAATGAATTATTACTCAGAGTTCTGAATTAATATGCCTAGTAAGGAATCTATTTGTCAAAAAACATTTCTGAATCTTTTTTGTTGTCTGTATTGTTACAGACATACTTGCTGACAGGTATTTTGAAATAGATTACCAAAATAATCGAAACTGGTGTGATTACACTGTGTTATTTTGACAAATAAAATTTACAGTATTTTAAAATATAATATGCAGAATTTTTAATTTTTTGGTGCAGAATTCCCCCAGGAGTAATATTCACTTTTACAAAGTGCTCATGAGATAATGCAGGATCCTCTCATGGGGCACACTTAAAAAGCAATTGTCCTAGAATCCAATCTGAAGGCATTTTCATAGATAAATAGATTTTAAGGCCAGAATGGACCATTATGATTATCCAGTCTGACCTCCTTTAAAAGGATGAGTATCATGTTTGAAGGATGTAAAGCAGATGTAACCCCTGAAACGGGCATCATTCTATGTTCCTCTGGTCACACACACCTTTCTACAGGGAACAGAAGGACATTTGATCCCCTACACTCTATCCATACATGAAACAGAGCTCCTTTTTAAGTGCTTTTACTGCATACTGATTCAGCCTACTCCTTGGTGTCCAGTGTTATTGTTGACAATTCCTCTGATAAATTTCTTTCCACTATAGAATGGTTAACATGCAGAAAGATGATTTATTTGGCAGGAAGGCCATGCAGCATGTTCAGATTAGACTCTTACGAAAAAATAAATACATTTCCCTGGGATGGTCAGAGGAAAGAAACTATTATGGCATGAAGTTCACACGTATTCATTTTCCAATCTGCAATCACTCTTTCAAATGAACAGCTGTCATTCTGCACAAGTAAGCTATATTATATGCTTAACAGATCCTTATCCTTAAATTTTTTTAAAAAAGAACACACAAGCTGCACGTCACTAGATGTGTAAAGTTATAAATAAACAATTTGCATTCTGTGGTGCTTTCAGAAGACATACATGGTCTAATATGTGGACCTGATCCAAAACACACTGCAGACAATGAGAGAATCTTTCTATTGACTTCAATGGGCTACAGATCAGGCCACAAGAAGTATGGTCATAATAATCAGCAAATCAACTCCAAGTACTTTAAGGGGAAAAAACTGCACACGGGTTAGGAACATGTGTATAAGTGTAGAGATAAATTTCAAATTTATAAACCAGGCCCGTTATAACATTATAAAGGCTTAAAGTCATGTGTTATCTCATCCAGTAGAAGTGAAAGGTTCAAAAACTGTTTTGTGTAGCTGTCTCTCTTCCCCTCTGTTATCTATTTTTCTTTGGAAGTAACAGAGGAACAGATGAACACATTGTATTATTCTAATTTGCAAAGTCTCCTGACTTCATAAAAATCAGAGGCAGGTATGAAGTTAGCTGTTCATTACAAAATAAAAGTTGCAGTTGGAAGGACAAATTCATTCATATATCGTGTTCTACGAAGCAGCTACAGACATTTAAAGCACAATTAATGGTGTTATGATGCACAACATTAAAAAAATCTGCACACTTTAAAATATACCAATGTTTGCCCCATCCCAAAAGAAAAAAAAAAAAACCTCTCTCTCCAAACTCTCAGAAACAGAAAACTCACCAACATTCCTCATAACTGCTAAAAAAAACAAAACCAAAATAAAATTAGCAGATTGTTTGCAAATACTGAAAGCAGAAAACAAAGCAAAGTAAGTTTGGGAAAACGTTTTAAATTGCTTAATATTTTCAAAAGGCATGTGCATATGATTAAACTTGTAAGCAAAATATACATATACTGCAGAATCACAGGAAAATGGGTTTTATTTGCTCTGGGTGCTATAAGTGTACAAGGAATACTCTTGCCAATAAGTGGAAAAAATAAAAGTCATCTGTACATAACACTGAAAATGAAAAAGATGGCACTAAATTCTAGTATACTATGGTTTGCATAGCAGCAAAGAAGTCCACACAAAACTGACTTCTAACTACTACTCGTTTTTTCTATCTATTAATAGTGGATTCTGTTCTCCCCTTTAGAGCACTTCATCCCTAAAAATGTTAATGAAAGCTGTATGTAAACAAGGAGAGATTAGACTCTCAATACATTTTATTTAGTTACCAAAACATGCTCTACAGATTTTAATACAACATGTGATAAGGCATCCAAATGATGGGATCTTGCTATTGACACTCTCTTGGCCTAATGACATTCAGAGATTCATGCATTTTAAGGCCAGAAGGGACCATTATGAGTATCTAGCCGTATCTCCTATATAATACAGTCCAAATAGAATTAACACTCGCTACAGAAACTGACTCTGCCACTGCAGATTGACTACCCAGTCTTACACCTGAGATACAGTATTTTTTGCATTTACCGAAGTGTTACTGATTTCTTTTACTTATTACAATATTTCTGGCTTCTTTCTCCAAAGATGAAACCCTGGTGCTTTTTTTAGGAACTATTTTATGGTTCTAATTTTATACATTAGGTTTAGGATGTGATGCCTGAATTACACATACAGGTCAAGCCCCTTTAAGTCAATGCAGTTTGGTTTTCCAAGTTCCAGGACATCTCATTTTTCATTCTGCTTGCAAGGCCCCAAACAATCAGAGTAAGAAATGCTCCAAGACAGTGATGTCTGGATAAGCGGTGAGGATAAAATGCAATAAGCATACTTGATCTTCTATGCTTCTGATCAAATATATTTTAAGATCATCTTGGTAGGTACAGTATTTGTCCCTGCTCACTTTTATATGATTTGGAGATCGTCTCAAGCTTCATTACAAAAGTACTCTACATTAATATTGTAATAGGAGATACCCAATAGACTGAATAAGGAAACTTAGGTCCAACAGAGAAAGGGCCTGTAATTTGTGCTACCTTCAGGCAAACGATATTGCCGACAGGAAAGTTATTCTCCAGCATAGGATCAGAAGACCTGCAACTTTGTGAAGGCCCAGAAGAAAAATGCAGGATGGAAATGGAGGTTTTGAATAGATTTGATAGAAAAAAAGACATCAGTGGTTTAGGTGCTTAGATAAGTCAGTGATGAGGGCCCTGTAAGTAACTAAGTAGATGGATCTCCAATGCTTCTGAAGGCAGATTTTGGTATCAACAACAACAAAAAGTTCAGCCTAGCCTATTGGATTTACAATCTTTGCTAATACCATCCTGGAACATCCTGTATGTCAGACACACTTATAGGAGGCAGTTGTTAGTACTGGTCTCAATACTGTACCATTACATGTACTAGTCTGACTCTAAGGTTTCAACTGGCACTGCAAGTAGCCGTATCCATTACTAAAATTAGTGCCACTGATGGTACAATTAAGTAGCCTCCAAAAATACTGAATCAGATCATCCCCTCTCTCTGCGCCTTCCCACCAGCTCTGACTCCGAGGCAGGCTGCATTCCCAGCTTCTTGAAGCTGCACTACTAAAGTCTCCCCTTGGCTGCAGCTGCTCCTGTAGCCCCCAAAGGGGGGTTCTACAGTAAAGATAATGCAGCCCGGAGCCAAATTATCTTTCTCTTGTAAGTTCCTTGGGTATGTCTACATTGCAACTGGGAGTGTGCCTCCCAGCCTGGGTAGAAAAGCCACATGCTAGTTCTACTCAAGCTAGCAGGCTAAAAATAGAAGTGTGGACACTGCAGCACTGGCAATGGCAAGGTCTAGCTGCCCCATTCCCTGAGTCCTTTTATTCAGGTGGCTAGCCTGTGCCACTCTACGCTGCAACATCCACACCTCTATTTCTACAGTGCTAGCCCAAGTAGTCACCTGGGCTGCAAGAGCATGCTTCCTGCTGCCGAGTAGAGATACCCCTGGAAGCCTGAAGGGAAACTGTGTCTCCCTTCCCCTTCAGCACACCTGGCCTTCTCAATTTCTGCCTCAGCCTGCAGTGTGAACGGCTAACCCCCAGAAAAGCCACGGTGAGATCCGAAGGTGATCTCACAGAGATTCACAGAGGTGAATGATTCCCTCCTGCAGGGTAGAAAGGGGGAGATCAATGTATAGTGGGTCCTTTCTAGGCATGCATCTAGGGGGCACATTCTGGCCTAATATTTTTACTTTAATATGGATGGAGAACAATTAGTAACTACACAGCAGCAAAAAACCTGGGGCAATATAGAGAAACCTGGAGCAACTGGGCCCATAACTAAATCCAAGCTGTTAATAAGAAACTTGCATTTGAGGAACTGCTGCTGCCTCTTAGGGAGAGTAGAACAAGTCAACTGATCTGTCTTTGCATAGAGTTCTGAAGCTCTAGGGGAAGGATCAGAGGTGGACGACTCCAGCATAGAATGGGTGTCTAAGCATGTTGTGGTTTTAGGAAATTAGTAAGAGAAAGAGGCTAAGAAATTACTTTAGCCAACTTCTATCTGACTTCAGAAGGTAAATTAGAGTAATGCTAATCTCAGTTCTTCAGTTAACACCAGAGTCACAAATTAGGATATAGCCCAAGACAAAATTTACTTTGATTTGGAAAATGCTTCCCAGATGCGCTGAGGAAGCAAGCTAAAGGGAGTGGAAGTATCAAATGTAACATATTTAAAGAGATGCCAATGATATTTTCTACCTCCACAGCCAGACAGAACTTAAATTGAATTAAGCCCAATTCAACACTTAAATTGTTCAGTTTAGCTAGTTTAACAACAGTCTTGTAATATTAAATATTCCACAAAAAGTAATTTGAAAAGGAACGATCAGTAAACAAAAAACAATGGAAAAACTGTTTTTCTCTTCCCCCTCTTTGAGAAAAGCATAGCATAATCTTCATAGTATTTGGCAGAACTTCCAAATGGAGGTGCAACAAAATCATGGAATGGGATGATTTTACAAAGCCTGGAGATTAAGAAAAGGCAGGTGATGCATTTTATAACTCTTCTACTTACTGTTTCTTTGCCTCTTCAAATTTATGCAGCTTTTTCCGTAGACCCCCTGATTTAAAGCCTTGACAGTGAGCTGCTGGTGCTCCTATGGTTACTATGTCATAATTCTGATCTGGATGGACAAAAAGTGCTTACAGATGAAAGTTCATCATATTTACTTTGGTTGAATCTGTGGAAATTCAAACTACTGAAATATTCAAATATTCCTGAAATATCTCAAATATTCCTGACAGAGACTGAAGTCTTCAGAACAATTTTGAGTGTTAAAAAGTTTGGAATTGCATTAGTGGTGAGAAACTCCCATGTGCTACGAAGTAAAAGACCCTTGTTTGAAACTTGGACCCCTGTTTCTTGTTCTGGAAGACAATATTCTACAAAGACAATATTCCCATGTCTGGAGATGAAGGAGGATTAACCTTGATACCTCAGCCTATCATCCCTCCTATCTGAAGGATACACAAGGCCGCTAGGGTCGACAGGCGGATGGGGCTGAACATTAAATGAAAGGAGAAAATTAGGTCTTTTACAAAGAAGCAAGCTCAACCTAAACAAGTTAATGGCTTTTTACACATTTAAAGTGCAGCGCCTCACAATTAAATTAAACTAAAAAAAAAATAACGGAGAGGGCCTCTGATGTCATGCCAACCAGAAAAGATCCTGGCAGCTCCTAAAACCAAAGGGGATCCAGCAGATTAATCCAGTAGATACAGCACAGGGATGGAAGGTGGGAGATTTGGGTTCTGTTTCCTAGCTCTGAGGCTGATGTGCCACGTGACCTTTGACAAGCTGATCTGCCCTTTGGTTTTGCCATCTATAAAACAGCGGTAATGATACTTACTTTACTTTACTAAAGTGCTTTGAGATCTAAGGATGGAAGCTGCTATTAAAATGTTAAATATTATTAGTACTGCACAGAAGCTACACTGGTTTGGGGGAAACTTAGCTCTGGATGGTGGAAACCCAAAAAAGAGAATAATGTGTATATATATACACACATATACACACACACATATACACACACACACACGAGAGAGAAGTACCTGATCCTCCATCATCCTGGACTCTCATTCTCTGTATGTGTAAATTTGTGGGCACGAATTCCAATTTTTTATCAGCTTTCAAGCTACTTGCTTTAAACGAAGGGCCTGAGAAATGTAACAGAAAAATATTTATTCTGTATCTGCCCTATAAAACCATGACCAACTGCCAGTGTCAAAATGCCAACAAATGGGGATTGGGGTTACTTTCAACACTGGTTGCACATTAGGTGGGAAGTAATACTGACAGAAAGTATGATTTGCTGACTAGCAGACTTTTAGTTGTAAGTATATTCGCAAGGCACATGCTGTTAGCTACAAGAGCCACTCACCCGCCTAAATGGCTGGGGGGACTGGATGGTGCCAGCTGCAAGGAAGGGAGATACCCACTGAGGGCACCAGGTAGGCTCCTCCCCTCTTGGAGTTTCTGGCACTCATTCGCCAGGTGGGGCCAAACTGTACGATCACAAAAGTGAAGGGGCAACATAGGCTTAATTTAAAATCCACTTTCAAGACCCTGTGACCAACCCTCTGGTACGAGAAGACTCCGTAACATTGGGGGGGAAATGCCTATTAAAACACAAACCAATGCATAGTCAAATACATTAATTTTCATTGTATTTTGATGGAACATGGTCTCTCTGTACACAAGTGCTGGAAGAGCATACAAGAATACAGTGCAAGAACCTGGAGAATGTATTCTTTTAAAAAAAAAACTAAAAATCTTCTGATTGCAAGGGGTGAAGAAATCAGTCCCACCAGAAGAACATTTACGACAGCAATAAGCAGACAAACAACTCTTCTAGTGCAGTCCATCTCACCAGCCTATGAGAATTTGTTTGTTAGGATTGCTATACTCACTTCCACTCCAATTTTGAGTAATTTATATATTGTATAGTATGGGAAAATACAACTAAACTGGAGGATGTTTACAGTTGAGGCATTCCAGGTCCCTGTACAATTATTGGATTACTTTATTTATTAGTAATAAATATTACTAGCTACTGGATCTGGTGGAGTCCAAATACTAATCTAAGAAGAATGAGTTGGAATTAGATATGCACTTAGGCCCTATAGCGGGGTGGTCACCTGCTCCCTGGTCTAGAAAGGGTTACAGCCAGCCCTGGGAGAGGGCTGGAGCTGTGGGTTAAAAGCTAGGCTGATTGGGGAAGAAGCCACAGCTGGGCCACGCCCCAATCAGAACTCAGCTGGCCCTGATAAAAGGGCTAGGAGCCAGGTGCTAGACACACTCTCCCTCCAGCTTCAGAGGGAGAAGGACCTAGCTGCCTGGGAGCCGTGGGTGCAGGCAACAGAGCAGGGCTGGGGAAAGGCGAGAGAAGCTGGGGAGCTCCTGCCTGGCAACTCCCCAGGCAGCAGAGCCGGTGCAAGGCCAAACCAGGTACTGGGGTTGCAGAGGCTGCAGCCCAGAGGGTAGACAAAGGCAACAGGTGCAAACTCCCCTTGGCTACTGATGAATGGCTTGTACACTGCAGTCTGCCCCAGTGAGTGGTGGCTAGATGCTGACTGGCAGTAGCCATAGACTGAGGCGAGGTGGGGATAGAGGGTTGGAGGTTCCCTGGGGGAGGGGGTACTGCCAGGGGGCAGCACCCAAGGTAAAGGGACATGGGGGCCAGCCATATGCGAGACAGTGGCCTGGAGAGGGTGCCCCGGAGGCTGGAGAGCTAATTCCCAGGACAACCAGTGGGAGGCATCGTGCCGGTGAGTCTCCGCCTTGCTACAGGCCCCGATACAGGAAGCTTTAAACACATGCTTAAGTCCCTTGCAGAACTGGGGTCTAAATGACTAGCAAATTAAGTTTATGTTTTAGCACTGGACTATTATTTTCTCTTACTGTTGACGATCCCTGGAATCAATCCAGCAAAGCACCTGAGCACATACTTGACTTTAAGCATGGGAAAAGTCCCACTGACTTCACTAGAACGTTTATCATGTGCTTAAGTGCTTTGTTGGATCGAGGCCTTAAACAAAAAAGGTAAAGATACAACAGTCTCAAAGCTACAGGTGAATTTAATGTTTACCACAGACAATTGCTCTGTGGGTTCCAATGATCCATTATGCACAGACCAATACAAGTTCTGTGCTCAGTAATTAATATTGTAATATACTGTCACCTACACACGCCTGCCTTTCTAACAATCTGAGGTGGGATGCATGCTACAACGTTAGCATTGTGTACACTGAAACTTTGTTTTACTTTCCTGGGGTTTGGCTTTATTCTCATTGACTGGTCAGTGTCTTTTGAACTCGCGTATCACATGAAAATCACCCTTCCTCCCATTGGTCACTGCTGTTCTGTGCTTTCAGGGATAAATTCTTCCCCTCTGCAGGGAGGCCAGCACAAAGCCTACATACCACTTATAGCAAGTCCCACTTAACCCTTCAAAATAGAAGTTATGTGATGCCTAGACCTTTATGCTGGCCCTCTGTACAGAGCGGAATTTCACCACAAGTGAAGACACTGTATGTTAAAACAGCACCTTTGAACTATGAATGAACCCCCATCCTTCTCAACGGTTGTCAACAGGAGTTATGGATGTAGAACAAAAGGTATAATATGGCCTAACACGAATACATAATAGTAAGAGAAGTATAAAAGCAAACAAAATACACCCGATCATTTCCCCCATTCTGAATGAAAAACTGGACTAATATTAGGGTAAATAAAGTTACATCATTCCCCCATTTGTGCATAACTCAGTCAGTTATAAACTGCCTTATTTCCCATTTAGTTTTATTAAGATTTTGAAATAATTACACACATACACGCACACTCCTTAAAAAAGACGAAACACGGAAATCAAATAATTCCCATAATACTTTAGAGAGAGCTCAGTATAGGGGGAAAAAACCCCCACTGAGAATCTATCAAACAAAGATTTGGGGTTCTTGGAATAAAAACTAAAACCTAGATCATATAATAATATTACATTATTATATCTATAAGATATTAAAAATTCTAAAATTATTATTAATATAAAGAGTCAGAATGTATTGGGGATTTCTGAAGACAGTTCATTACCTACAGAAAGTTAGCTCCTGTTTATTATTATTATTATTAAGCTGAATCCGCTCAGCAGAATTTATATGGTCAGTTTATATTATTCCTGAGGGAATTCTGTGCCAAAAAATTCTACACAATATTTTAAAATTCTGCACATTTATGAATAAATAAATGTACAGGCTCCAAGCCGCTGGCTGCACAGAGGTGGGAAAACATCCTGCAGCCCTCCCCTACTGCCCAGGACACAGATTTGGCAGTGAGGCTGCCCCCAACACTGACACAGTGCAAGGGCTGAGCCTGCCTTCCCACACCTGATGTGCCTGGTGCAAAGGTGCAGGGCCCCAGGCTATTTCTGGGGCGGGCTCAGCCCAGCAGGATCCAAGTGTAGAGAGGTTTAGTGTGTGAGGATCCAGGCATGTGTAAGAGGGTTGGGCAGAGTGGGGAGGGCATCGGGGTGTGGGTGGCTCAGTGGCCACTCTGGGTTTATGTGGGATCTGGATGCACAGGGGCTTGTTGGGGGGTTCCGGATGCAGGGGCAAAGGGACTCTGCAGGGAGTCCAGGTGAAGGTGGTGGGGGCTCAGCGGGGTGGTGGTCCAGGTGCAAAGGTGGTCCAGGTGCAAGGTGGTCAAGGCAGTCCAGGTGCAAAGAGGTGGGGCTCCTTGGGGTGAGGGTTCAAGTGCAGGGGGTGGGGTGGGGTGGGTGGAGTTTCCTGCAGCCAGGAGAGATTTCTGGGGCTGGTTCTGACCTGGCCCAGGCCCTGGCCACTCCCTGCAGGAGAAGAGTAAGTCTCGTCCTCCCCTGCGCCCAGTCCAGCTGGCACTAGCAGCTGTGCCCAGTGCATGGTAGGAGCCACCAGCCAGGGCATCCCCAGCCCCCCCGCAGTGATGTACCTCCCCACCAGCTGCACCAGGAGCCTGAAACAATGTGCCCATGCTTCTGGGGAGGGAGGCGTGACCACTCTTGCGGCTTCCCTTTGCTTCCCCATTAGAAGTCATTTTTCTGCGGGGAAGCAAAGAACTCTGGGAGTGGGGACATGAATTCTGCATGCGCATAGAAGCGCAGAATTCCCCCAGAATATATTATAGCACTTGATCATTAAGCATATAATAATTACTTATCATTAATTACATGAAATATAGAGGAGAGTAATGCTAATGGAAATCCACAGAAGAGAATGCAGGTGATAAAAATAATAAAATAACAAGAACAATTTAATGTAATTCATTTTTAAGGAAATTGCAGATTACTTTTTCTTTTCCAGACCTCACTCATTATCCCCTCTTTTGTATGTTAAGTTGCACAAATGACTATGATATTTATAAATTAGCTTCTTTGTACAATCACTATAAAACTTTATAATAGAGAGTACAAATATTTTGTCTGTTGATTTTTCCTAGCAAACCAAGAGTAAAACCACTTTTTTGGTTCTGAATCTTTGTTTTAAAAGGAAAGTAAGATGCATAACAAACATATTATCTATTATTACTGAAAATAAATCTTGCTGACCTTTGTATTGATGCAAGTCAGTTAGGTTTTCTTGATAAGTCAGTATAATTGTTTGGTACTGAGTAACTATTTGTCGACGAAGGCTCTCCCAACAGGGAGACAGCTCTCCCAGCTCTTCTAGTTCACAAACCCTACAAGAAGAAAGCAAAATGTTTTCAAATCAGTTGTACACCTGAGCAAAAAGAAAAAATGCAAGTGATGTCACACAGCAGACTCCTCAGGCAATACATTCTGAATTCCATGAAAAGAGTTCCAGGCGCAAGGGAATGTTTCAAAATGTACCTCCCAATACACCAGAATGGGGAAAATTAAGGCGCCTACTTTCTTTCCCTCCATTTATCCAGCGTTTTCAATAAGGGATAGATCCCAAGTGGGCCCATATGTGGCCACATGGGGGTAAGCAAGAAGCCTTCCCTCTTCATGTGGCTGCACAGTCTCTGTGCTCTGGGAAGAACAGGAACTGCTTGCTTCTGCTCCCCCTAGAAATAAGGATAAGGGGAGAAGGGGGTGGGACCATATCTATGCCCTGAATCCACCAGTGCACTGTGATGGGGAACAGCTCATAGCCTATTAGGCTGCTTCCCTGCCTTCCAGATCCTATATTTCCTCTTCCCTCCCCTTCCCGTACAGAGAAGCAACTGTCTGCAGTTATCACCTCCCCTTTCTCTGTATGGGGGTGGGGGGCGGGCGGTTGGAGAGGGAATATAGAATCTCAAAGGTGGGGAAGGAGCCTCATAGGCTATGAGCTGCAGACAGCTGCTTCCCCGCCTTTGAGATCCTATATACAGTACACACACAGAGATGCTCCTCCTGAGAGGCACTGTGAGAAAGCGTACTGCTGCAGGTGTGGGGCAGATACAGATAAAAGAGAGTGCACAACAAGGTTTGGATACCAGTTGATTCTTACAGATGCGGACCCAGAGCGCAGGGCTCTAGTCATCTTAAACACAAATTTGGGATAGTAGGAATCAGATCTAGCAGTGTCTTTTGTATGCTCTCTCAAGATCCATGATCCATAATTTTTACCAATTATCTGTGTATAACTTGAAAGTCCATTTATGGAACTGACAGAATAATTCTCTATTAATTATATAGTATTTTAGCACATTATCAAAATTAAGCAAGTTTGTCCACCCCACAATAATCCAATGTGTTGACTGCCAACAGGCAACATATAGTATCTACCAATAATTCATAGATTTTGAGGCCAGAAGGAACCATCATGATCATCTAGTCAGATCCTTCTGCATAACAGGCCATATAATTTCATTCTGTGATTCCTGCAGCAAGCCCATGGTTTAAAGACTTCAAGTGAGGTGGAATCTATCACATCCTTTAGTTAGATGTACCATGGTGGCATGGACATACCATGGAGTGTAGTATAAATGTTAGGTAGACATATCCCCCTGGCTATATGCATCCTGTTACTCTTCGCACAGAGCTGTTGTGCAGAAGAACTTTACATGAGTGGCACCATCAGCAGGCAGCTGACCCTCTGAGGGGGTCTCAGACACACACAGACAGAAGGGACCATTGTGATCACCTAATTTGACCTCCTACACATTGCAGGCCACAGAACCCCACCCACCCAGTACTGCAGTAGGTTCATAACCTGTGGATGAGTTGCTGAAGTCCTCAAATCATGATTTAAGGACTTCAAGTTACTAGAGAATCCACCATTTACTCTAGTTCAAACAAGCAAATGACCTGTGTCCCATGCTGCAGAGGAAAGCAAAAAAAAACCTCAAAACCGCTAGGGTCTCTGCCACTCTGACCTGGTGAACAATTCCTTCCCAACCCCCCTTCACAAGCAGCAATCAAGATCAAGCAATCAAGATCACCCAAGTACATTTTAAGCTGTTATCTTAATGGTAGACAGGAGTGATTATACTGGCGTGCCACCTAAAGCTTCATAGTATTTCTCAAGGTTTCAGTACAGAGAGGAATACCTGGGTAGATCTAACGTACCCTGGGAGCATATACTATTAAAGTTTTCAACCCAGATTATAATACAGAAAATAAAATATACAATAAAAATATGCATAACTGTAGGTTTTCTTTCTGCAAAAAAATTCAGACAATAATTCATCTTAAAGAGAATTGTTTATTAATTTAACAATATAGAAGATACTGGATGAAAAGAAGAAAAAACTTCTATCATCTGATACTCTGCATACCTTAATGGAGAGTAAAGATATGTCAATGCCTTTCATCTAAGGGCCCATTTTTCTTAAATTACAGAAAGTCATTTTCACCTCTAAGCCATACCGTTCAGTATTTAAAAGCTTGTATTACTGGTATTTGTTATGAAATCAGAATTGGTCGGAACATTCATAGAACTTCATTACTCTACAGAAAGTACCCTTGACTGGTGACATTTTCTCGCTAATGCTCGAGTGAATTCCACTGACTAAAGTCTAATACCAAGGAGTAGCTTGTCCTGTTCATTCTAATTCTCTTCGGTTACATTTAGGTTCTTTAGCATGTCTATCTAAAGGGTCTACAGAGGGGTTCTCAACCTTTTTCTTTCTGAGGCCCCACCAACTTGCAATAAAAACTCCACGGCCCACCAGTGCCACAAATGGTTTTCTGCATATGAAAGCCAGGGCTGGCGTTAGGGGTTAGCAAGCAGAGCATGCCACGGGCACCCACGAAGCTAAACTGCTCAAGCTTTGGTGTCAGCCCCGGGGGCGGGGCTCAGGGCCCTGGGCTTAAGCCTCATGCAGTTGGGCTTTGACTTTCTGGCCTGGGCCCCAGCAAGTCTAATGCTGGCCCTGCCCGGCGACCCCCAATGGGGCCTTGGACCCCTGGTTGAAAACCACTGATCTAAAGGCCACTGAGCAGGGTCCAAGAATCTGGGTTCCAGCCTGAGCCTGAATAGCCCAAGACCCGCAAGGCCTGAGTCAGTGGGCACAAGCCAGCTGCAGGTGTCTAATTGCAGTGTAGACATACCCTTAGCCAGCAACATTCTTATTAATGTCATTTAGCCTGTGGCAGACAGCACATCGGCCAGGATAGATACATACATCCCTTTACTCTTTTCACACTACTTTGTGAAATTTAAATATCCTCAATAGCTATAAGAAGAGGTTGCTATTAATGTCCCCTGTTACAGGGCACAAATAATGTTAGATGCCAACAACGTAGTAACTACTTACAGGCCCCACCCACACTCCTTGTGCACCTAAAGCCTCGTGGCCAGGTACCTGGAGGATGCACCATACAGTGCAGCAGTTGGATAGCCTCCACTGGCAGAGGTTTCACGGGAACCCCCTCAGAAGGTGGTAACAAGCCCTCAATCTATCTAGGTATTCATATCCCACTCCTCATTGCAGAATTCAAGTGCCTCAGGTACAGCTGTCCCAGCTGGCACGTATGAGTTAGGAACACCCACAGACCCATCATATTGTGCAGCCTTTTACCTTTCAATTGGACTAAATAATGATTGCTGCACCAAAATACTAAAGATAGTTAAGAACACTTATTAAAAATTTACTTCAGTATTTAAAGATGCTTTTTATAGAACTGCACATCATTATTTGAATAATGCAATCTCCACAACCCCACTTCTGTTATCACTGTCCATTTATCCTGACCACACTGTAAGTTACTCTGTGGGCTAGACCTTCCTCTACATAGACACAGGTGAAAATCAAGGGTTTAAGTCAATGAGTCAGCCCCTGACCTGTTGTAAAATGTCACAGCTCCATTTGACTTCCACAGAGCTCTGCCGATTTACACCTGCTGAGAATCTGGCCCAACAGAGTTAAAGCAGTGTAAGACACTCCAAAGTGAGAGAAGCATCAGGCCTGTGCAAGATACAGTTCATGGCCAATCTAGTGGTGACATGAAGGTATTGACTTTGTTAACAACAGGGCAGCGACCAAGTTGCTGCAGTCACTATTTCTGCTGCAGTCTCTTTGTCGTAACAATTTATTCTCTGCTAGCTCAGCAAAGGATGCACATCACTGCTGTATTACAACACATGTACATTTGTTCACCATTACCTGGCTGCATCTTCTTCAAGCAGAAGCTTCACAAACTGTCTGGGGACGTGCAGTGACAGTACACTCTCAGCCATCTGCTCTAAGATTCTCAGGTGGTTCCCATCAGTTGTGGGGAAACGATACATCCGACAAATGGCACCACCAAATACTAAAATATTAAAACCACATTATGTAAATGTGTGGTTTGAGTTCAGCATTGACAAAGTCTCCCTTCACCCATTACATTAAATTACACTGACTAGATTCAATATTGGCTGCTTGTAAAAATCCAATTTAAGTCATTTACCTATCTAGCTTTTTCAAACGCTATTTTTACAGGAGGGAGCTTTCCACACATAGTCAAAGAAAAAACCCCAAATCCAAAAGGTATTCCAAGTATTTTAAAGGAAAAAAGGAACAATTAATTTTTTGAAATTTCTTCACATATTGAATTCTTTCTCCCAATACACAAGTCTGTAGGAGAAGGAAGGACTGGCCCTGGTAGATGAATATAATGGCAAACAACATGCAAGATATTTTGCTTCATAAAGTATTGTTTGTACTACAAAGTGCTGTAGTGCAGGTAACAAAATAAATTATTCTTATGGGTCTCAATTCAGCAACCAATCCCTATTCAACTTCAAACACACGCTTGAGTGCTTTGTTGAATGGGGGCTATGATGGAGGCAACAAGAGATTAGCTGTCACCGATATTGTAAACATGCTAAGTATAGTAAGAACTGTCAATACACATAGAGCAAAGATATTAATCTGATAGTAGGTGAGCTATCAATATCTGCCCAGTTAGCTGCTTACCGGATTTTAGTAACACATCTTTCCTTAATGAAGCATATTTAGATCTGATTCCTAAAGATTCTGTTAAACTTTCATCAACTGGCAGTACAGTCTAAAAGACACAAATAGTAAAGTCTGTACAATGTAAAACCTCAACACCAAAACTCAAGCTAAACTGGTGAGACTCAACATAAAGACATGAAGGTAATATTCAAAACAGTGAATGTTTAAAATACATATTCCAAACATTTATCATGGACAATAACTATCCTGACCTCAAACTGAAATACTAAAAACATCTATCAGATCTTCAGATAAGGGACCTAGTTTTTATTTGCACTACAAAGCACCTAGCATACTTCTGAGTGCTGTAAAAATGATGGGCCAGATCCTCAGCTGCTGTAAACTGGCATAGCTCTATAGTCTACATCAATTTACTGGCCCAATAAATGATGATGATAATCCACATTCTGAACACAATACAGGTATACAGATTATGACTTCACATGTATTCACAATACAGAGTCTGAAGCATTAAACTTGTTCTCTAAGCAGGCAGGCAACTATAAATATCTGCTCTAGAGAACACAACTTGTTACTATCAGAAAAGATCCAGATTTCAGATAATAGTGTGGTCTGTTCTTTTAAACTATTTGATCGTATTTCTACTTCAAATCTGTCCTTCTTGAACTTCCATTTTCACAGACAGCTTCTAATAATCTAGTTTATGCATTTGCTTGGTACTGCCTTCGGATTCACAAATGGACATCACTGAATTTCTTGTAAAATCAGCTACTTCCCATAGGCATGCATCATGCACAGTAGGTAGTGGGTTTTTTTGTTTTGTTTTTTTAAAGGGTATACTGCAATACAAGCCAGTGTAATTAAGGGCACATAGAATAAGAATTACCACAGACAAGTTTCCATTCCATCATCTTCAAGAACTCACAGCATTACAAAAGACTGTATATCACAGCCTTCACCCGAAGTATTTCATCAACATTGAACTGTTTGTTACAGATTAACCAGCTAATATTTGTACAGTACATTGAAAATGGAAAGGACTATAAGTGCTAAGTAGAATTAGTCAGTGATTGGGTAGAGGGAGAGGCAATTTGCAGATTACAACATTACCTATAACATAGATACAGGATTACTGAAGACAATCTGAGGCTGATACAATGTTTACACTCACCCTCCCATTAATGGTGTCAGGAGACCTTGTTACAGGAGGCTTTTGGTCCGTTTTTTCTTCCATTTGCCATCCTATAACTGTGATGTTACCTACACGATCACTTTCAGCAGACCTGCAACAAAAAGTTTTTTTTTTTTTAGAGAGAGATCTGTTTGTCAATAGGAGACCAATTACTACTACGCACAACATACTGATCTGTGAACTTAATGAACTTCCTTTTGTCTCTTGTCCATGCCTTGGTCATCTCTTACCTTCACGAATGCAACCTCCTTTATGCTTCTCCCACCAATTCCTTCAGGGCTTTCAATATGCTGCTGCTGCAATCATCTTCCTCTCCAGTGTCTCTGAACATGCTAATCCCCTACCAAGATCCCTTCACTGATTTCCCTTCGAGATTCAAGATTCTCACCTTCACCTTTAACCCTCTCTAGCAATGCCACCCACAGTTACACCTTTGAGCTCAGTTCCTTCTAATCTCCTCCTGCTCCCCTCACTCTGCACAAGCTTCCTAACTTCTCCCACACTTGATTTCATACCTCCAAGCTGACCCCTAAGGGTTGGATTGTGTCCCTGTTCTTTGGCACCAAGCTACCATCCCCACAAGACACTCTCCTCCCATGACGCTTTTCAATGTTAATCCACCCAGTAAATTATTTTTTAAAATAATATTGAAGATATCTGCTCTGCTTTGAGACTGGTTCTTCCTATAGCTAGAGTGTTGTAAGGACAAACACACTAAAGTCTGTGAGATGCTCAGATACTACAGAAATGGAGACCATATAAATACCTTACATAGATAAGTAGAGAAACAGTGTAGGTGAGGTAATATCTTTTATTGGACCAATTTCTGTTGGTGAGAGAGAGACACTTTCAAGCTTACAGAGAGCTCAGTAGCTAAGATATCCAATGTAAATAAGAAAAGCTTCTGGTTTTCCAGGGTCTCCTCTGTCTGTCTCTCACTCTCACACACCTTAGATATCAGTATAGTTAAGAGTAGCCAGTTTTGCCAGTGTGTGTACTGTGTGTACTGCAGTACACACACACACACCCTGCATGCCAAGGCAATTTGATGAAATACACAAAGAGAAAAGAAATTGCACTTGTGGGTACACTTTCAACTTGCGGAATTAAAGACAACTCCCAACAAACAATTACAGCTTTCTCATTCCTTGTTCCCTGCATGCTTTGCCACCAAAAATCTATCCCAATATTTGAAAAGGTTCTTATGTTCTACATGTTTTAAACATCACCCAATAACTGATTTTCATTAGTAGAGCCCCTGAACTTCGAACACTTATTTTTAATTAAAAATCAAAAACAATTTTCACAACCTGCTCTCGGGCCCTACTAATCACAATGTTAGGAATCAGAGTAACAGCCATGTTAGTCTGTATTTGCAAAAAGAAAAGGAGTACTTGTGGCACCTTAGAGACTAACCAATTTATACATTGGTTAGTCTCTAAGGTGCCACAAGTACTCCTTTTCTTTTTGCGAATGTTAGGAATGTTAGTTTCTGATGGACTGAAACGGCATTACAAACCTTAGTGTTAAATGCAATCTATGGCTCTTCTCCTGAAGTAATTCCTTTACAGTGAACATTCCAGAACCCAATAAATACATCTGAAAAGAGGAACATTATTAGTGCAGAAATTTCAATTCATAAAGCACCTGTCCATAAGCGCAAGTCGTGTACAAGGAATAAACATTACAATTATAAATAAACATTTAAGAACAAAATACTATTACGAATAATAATAAACTACCCAACCAGGCCCAGCAAGCATAAAAAACAAACAAACAAAAACCCCTACTACCTTGGGGATTTTTCCCTTGAGGAAAACAAGACCTTCGCTTTTGCTGGGCTTGAGGAAAAGGACACTCCCAACACACAAGCCAAACCAAAGGCATGGAAATGGTGCAGTCTTGCATGGAAGAGCAAAAGGGGTGACCTTCACTCTCTATGTTAATGGGTCAGAGAAGAAGCTCAGTATTTCCATCCAAGCAATAATAATGAAAGTCCTGACTGTGCCCCCCACCCCAAAGGCTTATGGGCAAAAGAGAAGATTGGGTAGGACCAGGGAGACATATCATCCTCCTATTGACTCTCAAAGACTCTACAACCTCAGACTGTGTCATCTATTCTGCACAGCCACCCCACTGAGACTCTGAGGCATCCACAGATAGGGGGAGTCATGGGATACCCTGATGGAGCCACAGCGCCAGGGAGTCATGGGAGAACAGGCAATGGGGCCAGAGCCAGTGCAGACAGAGGCAGATTAAGATTTAGTGAGGCCCTGGGCACAAAGCACATTTGGACCCAGGAGCACCAGAACCGGGGGGAACCACGGGGCCATGCCCTGCCCACTTTTTACCATGGGCATAGTAGCTTCAGGCAGGTGCACAGCAGCAGCAGCAGGGGCAAGCTGATCACCTTCCTGGTGGGGGGAGGCCTCATACCCCCTTGCCACAAGGCTCGGGTTGCCAACTTTCTAATTGCAGAAAACCGAACACCCTTGCCTGTCCCCTGTCCCCACCTCTGCCTTGTCCCTTCTCTGAGGCCCCACCCCTGCTCACTCCATCCCCCCTCCCTCTGTTGCTCACTCTACACCACCCTCACTCACTTTCACTGGGCTGGGGCAGGGAATTGGGGTGCAGGAGAGGGCTCTAGGGTGGGGCCAGAAATCAGGGGTTCAGGGTGAAGGAGGGGGCTCTGGGCTGGGGCAGGGGGTTGGAGTGCAGGAAGGGGTGAGGGCTCTGGCTGGGGGTGTGGGCTCTGGGCTGGGGATGAGGGATTTGGGATGCAGAAAGGGGTTCCGACCTGGGGCGGGGGGTTGAGGTGTGGGAGGGGGTTTTGAGCTGGACCAGGGGGTGCAGGCTCTGGGAGAGTTTGGGTGCAGGAGGGGGCGCAGGCTCCATCCGGGTGGCACTAACCTCAGGCAGCTCCCGGAAGCAGCAACATGTCTAGCTCCTAGGCAGAGGGGCCAGGGGCCTCTGTGCACTGCCCGCGCCTGCAAATGCCACCCCCGCAGCTCCCATTGGCCATGGTTCCCGGCCTCCCTGGCCACCCCGAGCCTACAGGCCACAGGGACATGGCAGTCACTTCCAGGAGCCGCAGGGAGCCTGCAGTAGTCCCGCTGCACCGCCCACTGGATTTTTAGTAGCCCGGTCAGCACTGCCGCCAGGGTCCCTTTTCAACACGGCAATCCAGTCGAAAACCGGACGCCTGGCAACCTTACACGGGGCCCTGCCCCTGCTCCTCCTCTTCCCAAGGCCCCGCCCCCTGGCCAGGCCAGAAACCAGAGCCAGACCATGATAAGAGCTCCCCGGGGAGCTCAGACTACTGTGGGGAGCCCCAGGCCCTCCATCTGCCCTGGGCAGCATGCCCTGGGGTGCGAAGACATGGGCTGGGGGCGACTCTCAGGCACCCTGGCACCGCCCAGGGAAGGTGGAGGGTCCGGGGCTTCCCACAGCAGCTGAGGTTCCTTGGGGCGGCTCTTACCATAACGTGGCTCTGGCTTTTGGCCTACCCAGCAGGCAGGGACTCTGGGGAAAGAAGAGCAGGGGGTGGGCCACAAATCTGGTGCCGGTGGCCCCCCATTTCTACACAGTTTCCAGCGCTCCTGAGGGGGCCCTGAATTGGCCAGGGCCCCTCACCTTGGCCACCTGTAGAGTGAAGGCGGGGTCTGAATCTATGGATTTTCCTATGAGGAAGCAAACCCCACCCTCTCAATGGGGCAACGCCAGGGGTGGGGGGAATTTCAGTGTGAGAATCCATCTGAAGACTCCCTTCTCCAAAATTTTCTTTTGCTCATTCTTCTGCAGAAGGGGACGAGCTGGGTCGAAGTTATTACTTTTTCTTGGACTTCAGTTTGTTAGAAGGTAATACACACGTCAGAGGGTGAGTATCAATCATAACATTCACTTCAGGCTGTCCTTTACTGAGATGATGTTTGAACAGAGAATGAGTAATTCCTCAGGCATATAAATTCAAGGGCTGATCCAGAGTATCCTTATGTCAGAAAACAGATTGCATGGTTGCTTTCCTGAATGCATCTTCTGGCATTTTTGCTTCAGAAACAACCTTCTATTTTGCAATTCAGGAATTTTTGAAAAGCAAGACTGAGGTGTCAGAAGGTTGCAGGGATTTTGATGTTGTGGAACTCCATATGCTGCTAAGCAATGATAAACTGGCAGTGCTAAGTGTTTTTGAATAAGAGGATGCAGAGTGTTCATACTGAAATTAAAAACTACTCAAAAATCATGGAGCTTCCCCCCCACCCCCAGTTTTCATCAAGAACTGGAAAGTGGGCTCATTTTTGAGAAAAATTATCCTAAGATAGGCCCAATTTTGAGGGAAAATGGCTTTGCATGCAGATTCTTAGGTTTTTCACTTGTTTTCAATGAACAATTGTAAAGAAAAAATTACTGTGAAGCAAAATTTGGGGTTTGTGGAATTACGCACAGCCAAATTGCAATCATTTTCATATAAAAACCCTCAAAACACTTTTTTTTTAAATTTCACACAACTCTAATTTGAGGCCAAGAGAGACCATCATTCTAATTTAGAACAAAGTGCCACAAAGATGGCACCTTTCACTTTAAACGTGTAGGGCATATTTCAGCCTTTAAATGTGTAGGACACACCAAATTAAGAGCTTTGCAGGGGGCCCCAATGTAAGAACAGGTTTCATCGTACATGAGGTGAAAATCCAGAGCTTTGGTTTAATTTAGAGCAACAGAAATGACAGAAGGATTATGAAGGAATACACAAGTGCACTTACTGTTCCCTGAGATCTATCTTTGACGTCGTACACAGAAAGTTTGATTTGCGTCATTTGATTGATAAGAGAGTCTTGAAAAAAAGCAATACTGCTTAGAAAGATAGGATTATTTGTTCCCTATGATTATAAACAAGAAAAAAGTAATATTAATGCAGTGTGATGTATGTTGAAATAAACGTTCCTTATACTAGCTTCAACCTTAAATCAAGAGCAATAATATACCACCACTTACCTCAATAATCTCTGTCTGTGCATGCTTTGTCCAGAATGCCTGAGGAGGTGTAGTGACACTCACTGCGACAAAAGTATTTGGTTTTCGATCTAGCGATGGTGTGAGCAACTCACTGCAAACTTTAGAGGTTTAAGAATATAATTTTTAAAGTCATGGTCTTTCTGACATTGTCCAAAATTCTACAGCTCTCATAAACATGTATAATACAAAGAGTGGGCAAGTGATGAAGGGCCAAATTTTCAGTATGCTTCTGTTTTGTGCATAGGTACAACACTCACGTTTGTGCATGCAAACAACTATTGCACACAAAGATCAGGTAGTCAGATTTGCAGTTACCAACTATGCATATGCAAATGTGGGTATTTTTACACACACAAAAGATATAACATGCACAAAACTGGAACGTGCTGTGGGGTCCCAGCTGCAATTTAAAATTAGTCTCCCCCAGAAGAACCACTGTGAGAGGCAGGTAGTGCAACCATCACCCTTCCCATCAGGCACTACTGTTCATAATGGCACAAGGGGGTATTTCTCCAGTGGAAAGCTCATGGGCACGGTGTGCATGAAATAAGCCTGCAGTCTGCTGAACTCTTTGATCAATAGTATCTTCTCAAGGATATCATTGGGAGTGCTTGAATACCAGCCATGTGTCTGCATTGTAAACAGAAGTAGATGATGGTCCATCAAAACAAGAGGGAACTTTATTTCCTCTAACAAAATTATTGTCCTTTCATTCACCTACAAAGCCATTATTTTAACTACTGTGGAGGGGGACACGGAAGAGGAATCTCCTTCCAAAAACTTTGTATGTGATTGCCTTCCATACATAGCTAAACAGAACTTTGGTATTAAGGCTGATAATCCATGTTGTCTCCAGTTGGAATGCCGTCATTGTGCCTAGAGATACAAGGTGATGAGGTAAAATCTTTTTTTTGTACCAACTTCTATTGATGAGAGAGACAAGCTTTCAAGCTTACACAGTGTGTAAGCTCAAAAGCTTGTCTCTCTCACCAACAGAAGCTGATCCACTAAGACAGGGCTGGGCAAACTACGGCCCGCGGAACACATCCAGCCTGCCAGCCATCTTAATCTGGCCCTCAAGCTCCCACTGGGGAGCGGGGTCTGGAGCTTGCCCTGCTCCAGCACTCCATCCGGGGAGCAGGGTCGGGGGGCTGCTCCACACGGCTCCCAGAAGCAGCAGCATGTCCCCCCCTCTGGCTCCTCTGCACTCCAAACACCACCCCCACAGCTCCCATTGGCCGAGAACAGTAGCCGATGGGAGCTGCAGGGGCAGCACCTGTGGACGGGGTAGCACGCGGCAGCGCCTGCGGACAGGGCAGCACACAGCAGAGCTGCCTGGCTGTGCCTCCGCGTAGGAGGTACATGCTGCTGTTTCCAGGAGCTGCTTGAGGTAAGTGCCGCCTGGAGCCTGCACTCCTGAGCCACCCCCGCATGCTCCAACCCCCTGCCCCAGCCCTGATCTCCCTCCCACCCTCCGAACCCCTCGGTCCCAGCCTGGAGCACCCTCCTGTACCCCAAACCCCTCATCCTCAGCCCCACCCCAGAGCCTGCACCCCCAGCTGGAGCCCTCATGCCCCCTGCCCCACCCCAGTGTCCCCTCCCGCACTCTGAACTCCTCATTTCGGGCCGCACCCCAGATCCCACACTCCCCGCCAGAGCCCTCACCCCCTCCTGCACCCCAACCCCAATTTCGTGAGCATTCATGGCCCTCCATACAATTTCTATACCCAGATGTGGCCCTCGGGCCAAAAAGTTTTCCCACCCCTGCACTAAGAGAAATTATCTCACTCACCTTTTGTCTCTAATATCTTGGGACCAACACAGCTACAAAAACACTGCGTGTATGATTATGCCTAGATTTTCCCCACCATGGTCCACGTTATGACTGAAACTTGGTGACTAGATGTACAGCATTAACTCTAAAATTTGTCTGTGCTAGGCAACCTCTTGATGTAACCTAAATAGTATTGCAGTGCTGAATACTTTTTTATTTTCTTTGCTCATCTATCAGACTGTAGCTGAAGCCATAAAAAAATAAGTAATTCAGATTCTGTGGAATGACAACACACGGATTCAGATTCAGTATTAAACATACCTATTACTGGTTTCCAATTTTCATTTAAAAACCACTGTCAGATCATAAAGCTTTCAAACTTTTGTAAATTAGTTACTCAGCCAGGAACGTGCTCCACAAACGGAACTTTTGAATTTTCATTGAGAAGCTGTGTTTCTTCTAGTTTTCAGACAGGTTAACTGATGCACGAAGAGGTCAAAATAACTTGTCCAAAGTCATTCAACCAGCCACATTTTTAACCATGTTAGAAATCAGGACACTTCTGGGACTCATATTAACCACGTGACTGCAGGAAAGAATGTATAACTGGCAGTGGATAACCACTGGAAAACATTCTGTCCTAAAATATTTGTCATCCATTTATGCAGGTGTGTAATTTTCTTAAAGATTCATAGTGCTAACAAATTGAGATTGAAGCAACAATCTCAATCTCGAACTCATTAAATCTAAAAGTACAGAAGAAGTTTTAACCTATAGACTTCCAAAGTATAGCATAGTTGGTTCACTCCAGCCTATCATGCTATCTGTCAAGACCCTTTTACAGAAAGCAGGGAAAGCTCCATACAAATGCAAGTGCATATCCCTCTCAACACTTATTTGTATGGTAGCCCTTTCCAGATCAACACTGGTAAAAAAATATTCAACAGCAAATCCCATGAAAACCAGAAACGGTTTTAAAAAGTGTCATTAAAAACTACTGACCTAAGCTGAACTCTAAAATTGGCTCATCTGGATCCTGGATGTTTCCTGTAGAGCAGAAAAATTAGTAAAAGGTTAACTCTCCATTGTTCTCATACAATTCTTGAATTGAAGTTACAGTTAGAGAGGGGAAATATTTTAGGGAATCTATAGAACATTTTATGTGACTTTTTTTTAATTCAGTGAAGCTTGAAAAACTATTTTAAAATATTTACATATTACATCTTTAACACCTGCAAAGCCACTGGATTAAAAAAATTTAAGGCAATGGTTATGGGGTTTTTTAAAGTGCCTAAGTGACTTAGGAGCCCAAGTCCCATTTTCAAAAGCAACAAATACTTAGAATCCTACATCTCATTGAAAGGCACCTAAATGAGGTGAAGCCTTGTCTATACTAGAAAGTGGAACCATTTCAATACTGACATAGTTAAAATGGTATAACTCCCCTAGGGTGGAAGTAGTTACACAGGTATGAGTGTGCTTATACCAGTATAATTATCCCCTTACAGGAAGGGGAATCAGCTATATGACTATAAGGCACCTTTATAATGGCTAACACTAGGGCTTGTACCAGTATAATCATATCAGTTAAAAAATATCACATCCCTAACCAAATTGGGATCACATTCAAGTGTCGTCCAGGCCTTAAGTTACTTAGATGCTGTTGAGGATTTTACCCAATGCCTAAAGTGCGGGTTACCCAGACAGTTCGCACACACACATTCACACTTCCTCTCTTCCTCCCATCCTCTTCATCTCTGAGCCTTGTTCTGGAGCTTTGTTTTCCTTTGGCTTGTCCAATGATCATGGAAGATCTAGCCTAATCTAGCCTTCTCCTCCCTGCTGCCACTTCTAGTTCCTTGTCTATAAAATAGGGCAAAATAAGTTTTTAAAAGGCAGTCTATTGGTATTTGAATTTCAGGATAATCCCTCCATCGCATGCACTGAGGATAAACAGGAATGTTTAAAACTTCCAAAAAACAACAAAGATTTTGAAAAAATAATAATGTAAGTATGTCTGAAAGGAATATGTAGGCACCAGATGATGCAAAGGTGCTTACCTGCCAGAGACAGACCTAGCATGTCAGAGGCAATGTCAATAGTGGAGGCCCGTTGCACAGTGCGGGATTTTGCACCATGGCGGGGGCTGTGTTCTCTTGCTGTCATTTTGTCATGAAGAACACGTCTCTTCTTGCTGCTAGACGTTAGTGATTTGTCTTGCCGAAGTATGAGAGTGGAGCAGATTGTCGCCAGTCGCTAATCCTCCAATATCACCGTGCTAAGCATAACTAAAACAAAATTAAAATGACCATTGTCAACTCACTGTAACAGTGGCAAATCTATAGATTTAAAATTACCTTAAGTAACTCTGATAGAAAGCTAAATGCTGGTAAAATGCAAGGTAACAATTCACATGATTCATGCTTCTGTAGGACTTTTAATGAAAACTGTCTAAATACAGTACAACTTGCAAAAAAGGCTTTTCTGTCAGGTATCTCTCAACCCTGATCTCTATTAGACAAAGGGAAGAGAGCAGCTGCTGTGTTAACTTAAGTGATTACATCTTTAATGACGTTTGGTGGTTCTCATAACCCCAGGGGATTGAGAGTAAATTTGTCTGATGTGGCCTCTTTCTGTAGAAATAGGACAATAGATAAGGTCAGAGGGAGAATGGCCAGCAGAATATAAATAGAAGACAGGAAATGCTGTGGTTAGCAGTCAACAAACTCTTCCATTTTAGAATCTACCACCATTAAAGGTATAAACCTAAAAATATGACAGATCAGGGATATTTTACTTTGCAGCATTGTACCCTGTTGTTTTTAAGATTAATTATTAATAAACCTCATTACCATCAGGCAAGTTATTAACAATATTAATAATCATTACATTTTATAACTCACATTCCAACTGCAGACAATTTTAAAATGGAAGAGGAAAGATTTTCATGCACAATTAAGCTGTTGAACTCCTTGCAACATGATATGAATTAGTCCAATAATATATAAAAATAATGCCAACATTCCCGGTGCATATTAGACAAGATAAATACAAGGGAGCTGTGATCTTCTTCCCCAAATGGTGCCAGAAAGAAAGATGTGGGCCAGTACAGGCAAGGAGAGAAAAGTATGATCTAAGGCCTGCTAAATTTGATTAGGTTGATTAATTTGAAGGTTTCCTTCCTCCCTCAGCTACATTAACACTGCAGTTATGAAACTTTTCTATATATTTCATAACATTGTTGTGGCAACTCTTTCCAACTAAGAAGAACAAGAAGAAAAATACAACAAATGGAAACGTAGTGACTGTGACCACACACGCATTATTCTTGCTTCTAATGCCTCTATAACACTTCATTCTATCATGAAACCTTTCAACCACTCTGGACATCAGAGATATTTTTTTCCTTACAGGATTATGAGACAAATAATAAGGCCAATGTTTGTGAGCACAGAACTAACTAAATTTTAAAACAGGAAACTCACTTTGGGGTGAGTTGAGAGAAGGAATTGTTGACTATCTGCTCCCAAAACCAGCAGATGGGCCACCCTATAATTCAATTCAGAATGAATAGCATTCCTTGCACATAAGAATTTATGCATCAACTGAAAGTGCCTATAAATCAATGGAGTGATGTAAATCAGTTCCAAGTGAAAAAAGGAACACTAATTAAATCAGTAAACCAAAAGATGAGAGACTTGCATACTTCATCCCCGAAAGTGTTAGCATGCATCATAACGAACTATACTCTTACCATAGCATGACAGTAAGCAATTGAAGCAGATAGTTTTCCAATTCTTCTAATTCATCTGATGGTTAATAAAGAGGCAGTCATCATAGAAAAGTATTTAATTTCACAAGATTTGCTCAAGTAAGAGATCTGTCATGACTCTCCACCAGCTTCCAAATCCTCACACTCCCCCAATTTGTTTTCCTTTGAGTATTAGATTTTAGCTGACTGCTTCTGTATATAAAATGGTCTCTTACTGGTAACTCTGTTAACGTCAGCATTCTAGTGGAATGTAACATTGTCACAAGAGATATATGGAGGGATCTAGGCTCAGTGCCATAAAAGAACAAATCATACAAATACTTTAATTTTGTGGATAAATAATATGTTCTTATGACAGTAGGTCAAGAAACAGCTTGGGCAGATAAAGGAGACTGCCACTTCTCCAGCCAAAACCTCTGCAACTGTTGGAGCCCTTAAAACAGATCAATATTCAAAATTGAAAGACAAATTATCTTAGTTTTCAAGCTGAAGAACTCCTATTTAAAATACCAAATATGATCATTTTCAGAAACCTTACATACCCTTGATTATTCATCTAAATTACAAATTAAACAATTTTAAATTCCACTTGGTGATACATTTTTATTTCATAGACAATTCATACAGAGCATACTCACTGAGGGCTGTTTTCCTCCTGTGAGACAGTGTTGTTTTGCATTTCTTAAAATCAGATTTAAGGTCACATCTAAAAATAAACAGTAGTATTTATAAATGCATGCACTTACAGTTTTATGAAGACTTACACCATTTCAAAGTTGTATTTTATCAAATAATTGCATTTGTACTCCTAATTGTAGCCCATTCCCTTATAATTAGAGAGCTGCATATGTGCTTCCTAGTTGTCACATAGTTTTGCTGTGTGATAAGCGTTGCAACAGGTTTAGCAAAAGCATGTAAGTTTGACAGACAGCTTACTTCCAAACAAAATTAGCAAGGGCAACAGCCAATCATAACAGAAACAAAGAGTAACAAACTAACACTAAGGGGGACTGATTTCAAATCAGCATTTGGTGAGTGGATGAGACAACAGGAAGAAAAATATGCTAAAATATTTACACAAAAGTCTAAAAAGCTGTAAGTATATAACTGTCAGAATGTGAGTGGTGGGTTTTTGTTTTTTTCGTACTACCCTTGCTTTTCTAGAGCTAAGTCTGGACTCAAACCCACAATTTTTACAATACTTTGTAATGGCGGGAAACAAGCATTGCAAAAAGAAAGAGAAAAGAAGTTATTTATAAATACATCATGGGATAACTGGAGGTTTGTATTTGTTAGTGGTTCAGTTTCTCCAGAGTAAATTTAAGGCCCTAAAAAGCAGAAAAGAGAACTAAATAACTTAAAGGAGTATGAAAATCCCACCATACTTAAGCATCTTGCAAAGGGCACACTATGATGAAAGTGGGTTGGGAGAACCGCACTCTATATTTTTTGCTTTTTACTAGAGTCCAAGCAGGCCATGTTTGTGCTACAAATTGTAATTGGCGCAAACTGTGGTTACATCAGCATACAGCTGCTAAAGTGTGTATAATTGCTTGGAGGTGTACATTATTTGGTTCTGCGCCATAGGTAGCCCCACTGTGCCATGCATAGCTGTCTGGCGAAATGCCTTTTCAAAATTTTTGCAATATGGGATATAAATGACTTAACTAGGGACCTCTGGGAGCTAAGGGTCAAGTTCAAAGCATGCAACTTTCTCCATCTCCTTGTTGTACCAATAAAATAAAAACCAGCAGGATCTTATTAAAGGGAAAAAGGCAAAATACCACATTTATTGTGAATACAGAAAGAATCATAGTAAGCAGTTAGTTCTAGTTGTAACATTCCATTCAATCTCATATTTATTCACACATTCATTCATACAAACACACACACACACACACACACAGGTTCTGCAAGGTTGTTATCATAGTTACCAGCCTTAGAGTTGCTCATGCCAAGCCACTGGCCAGGTGGCCTGGACATGAGGAGGGAGCAGGGCCTTGTCAGATGCTCATCTGATGCTCCTGGAAGTTGGTTTGCAGAATCAGACCCCAAAGTTCTCACTTTTTAGAGTCTATTTTTATAGGAATTTCTTCCTATGCCAGTCTATGGGAATTGCTTCATCATGCTGTTGCTGAATCAATCAGCAGATAGCACATTCCTGACGGCTCCAAGATGTTATCTTGTTCTTTGGTTCTCCCATTCTTGAGGCTGTTGGGTGGATTCCAGTCTGCCCTCCAGGGGGTCCTCTGGTTATTTCCACTTGACGCCTTCTTCAGCCGATGGACACTGGATTCTTAGGCTGGCACCTCCCTGATCATTCAGTTATTATCCACACCAAACATCCATCCACATACATCCTCTATCTCTATTTTAATCACAATTGTTAATACAACAAAAGGGTGGGGAGTCTCTGGGTGTTGTTTCTGTTGTTAGAGTATTGCTTTGAGTCTCTCTCTCTGTGAATTGCTTTGAGAACAGACTCTGTCTTAGAATGTACTAACACAATTAGCAGCTTGCAAGTTTCACACATAGAGGGAGAGAAACAGTACCAAAAACTAAGAGACCTCTTAATTAGTAATACCCTGGAATTTAAACTATGGGGAATCAAACTCATTTGTGATTTTAATACTGAACTTCTTTAATATGATCTAACATCCTCATCCCATCCATAGCCCATAATTTTTGCACCTTTTTAAAAAAAAATCCCACAAACCCACGCGGCACTTTTTGGTCTCTGTCATTTCTGACAGAAATGGGTGCTTTGGGGCTTGAGCACCCACGTTGAAAAATTTGGTGGGTGCTCTGCACCCACCAGCAGCCAAGCTAAACACTAAATACATTCTTATAAGACTAATACCTGTTTTGAGCAAAACTAACACATGGGTGAACTGGTCTGGTCTCCAGCTATAAGTTTGTCAGTTCTTAGCTAATGCCTATAGCCTGGGCAAGAACTAGCATCTGGTTTGCCAGCATCACACCGGATTTACAATCACAACGGAAAGGGGAAGATAAGTTTCAAAATTCTTTTCCCTCATTGTCATAAACACTTCTGATAACACCCGCTTATTGAGACTTCAGCTTTGGAGCACCTCAGTATGGCACTGCTCCCCAGCCGCAGCCATGGTGAGTATAGCTTATAAAAAGTGAGGAGAGGAAAGGATTTTCCGTTGCATGAAGCTAAGAAATTTCAGTCCCTATTCCATGGGTACTAACATAGGGCAACGGCACTGGATGTTGACACTATTTTCCACAAGCGGTGGTGATTTTAGCCAATATCTCACTCCTCAGGGTAACAAACGCACAGAGCTCAGCTGCGACTGGCATCTGGAAGCTGCCCAGACCCATATGTTGCTAGCCTTTTTATTACGACTCCAGCCAAATTCACTGCACAGTGGCATGGGAAAGTGCCCTACCACAGAGGAAGAAATAAGGCAGCCTTCCCTACAAGCCCTCGGAGAAGATTGCAGAGTATCTCCATGAAATTTGCATTGAAATCTGTCAGGAGAATTAAAGGGACATCCCTATGTACATAAAGAAGTACACCATATCCTCATCCCCCCCCCCCGCCAATCCTACAGGTAAATAAAAAGCAGAGGCAAACTCTACCTCTGTTGCACCCATACCTCTTCTTGATTGAGTAAAACAATGAGAAGTCAGGTTTCAGAGTAGCAGCCGTGTTAGTCTGTATCCGCAAAAAGAAAAGGAGTACTTGTGGCACTTTAGAGACTAACCAATTTATTTGAGCATAAGCTTTCGTGAGCTACAGCTCACTTCATCGGATGCAATACCTGTCTTTTGTTAACTCAATACCGGTCTTGTTAACTTGGGGACAGGCTGGTCGCCATCTCTAAGTTTAAACCTTGCAAGGAAAAATGGATGCACGCAAGTTACCCAAGTCCCTTCCCCTTCACCAGGCTCATCCACACTCATCTGGTGGGACTGGCTAGACTGTGGCAGAGTCTTGAACAGGTCCAGGCTTGTCGTATGGCTGGAGTCCCCCACTGCATCTCCTCCTCGCGGTTCACACCACAGGACTCTGTCGTGGGCTCCTCCAAGGTATTCACAGTGGTTGCAGTGTGCAGGAGGAGTCCCTGCTAACTATGACATGCAGTTTGTTGTAAAAGCAACAGGCCTGTGGGAGCAGCATCAGATCTATTATTGTTCTCCCTGGTCCTGTGATATCCCTGGCGAAGTTCCTTCACTTGCATGCAAAACAAATGCTGATCCCAGTTGTACCCCATTGTCTGCTTCACCCATGCCATCTGCTCATAGATGTCCACTTTTCTATGCCTGGTCTGCAGCTGTATTTGCACAGCTTCTTCCCCCACAACCCAAGGAGAGATCTAGGTCTACTCCAAGCAGGAGTGTGTCTAGTGCATGGAGTTGGCCTAGTTGGTTGGGAGAGTGGCACACAACAAGATGAGCACACCTGGCAGCTCACGCAAGGTGGGCAATCTGGAAAAGGCATTTCAAAAACACACACAGGAGGGGGGTGCCTTCCAGTCTCTGTGACCCCCGGGCAGTGGAGTTTAAAATTTTAACCAGAGAGGTGACTGGCGCAGGGAGTAGGGCACTGTGTGACAGCTGTTGGAGGACTGTTAGGGTTTATACAGGTCACACAGAGTCCACACTTGCGCTGCATCAACCTCTGGAGGTCGACCATGGCTCAACATTCTTCAGGGTGGCGGTTCTACTGCATTGTTGTAATAGGGTGCTTATGTCTGCCACAGACAAATTTGAGTGTAGACACATGCACAAATAGGTTGACGCAAGGTAACTTACGTTGCCCTAACTTTGTAGTGTAGGACTAGGCCAGGCCTTGTTACTCAAGCTTGCTTAAGGACATGGTCCAAAAGAGGACAGGCACAGGAGGTTAGGTGGAAAGAAACAGACTGCAGCTTTATTAAAGTAGTTCAGGTACAAATCAATGGAGGCATAATCCTTTCCAAACTAAAGCTTATATAATACTAATGGACTAGGTTGCTTCCTTCTGCTACCCAAAACCGCTGTCCCACCAAATAAACCCAGTGGCCCCAATGATACACATAATCCAGTCAGGATGCCTAGCCACACCCAGTCTGGAACATGCAAATTGAGCCATCGCATATGTAGATTATGAGTTTGTTCACTGAAAAAAAATGACCCATCGCTGACAATGGGTGTAACTGACTCCGTACCGAACATGTTTTTGCTGCAAGTGAAGGCTTCATCCATGGTTTCTGAAGTGGTGCGGAATACAGTTTGCCTTTGTCCACACTAGCCGCCACACTATGTTCATCATCAGCTCAGCGGCACCCATTGTCATCACTATGGCCAGCAGTAGCTCATTTTTATTGTGCAGAAAAGGATTGTGACAGACTGTATTCTGTCATATGAGCAATACTGACTACCGCCGCCTACCACCCCTGTACTCAGGCTCCAAAAAGCTGATCTTTATCAGATGCCATTTCAAGAACCCTACAACACTCACCAAGGACTATCTGCTTGGCTGCATCTCTCCATATGCCATAGGCTTAAGATTTAAAACTATCAACTCCACAACTGTGATATGCATCCCAACAATCTGAATGATGTTGAGGAAATGCAGGTTACCTCTGTGCCCCAAATTCGGACCTTCACAAACAGAAACTAATATCCTCACTTCCATCTCAGTCACTTTGCAAGTATAAAATCACTCACAGCGGTTTAGTCTGCTTCAGTCTT